AGCTATGAGTGAGACCATCCGGTATTTTTCTTTTTCTTTCTGACTTATTTCACTGAGCATGATCCCTTCCAGCTCCATCCATGTTGCGGCAAATTGCTTGAGTTTATCTTTTTTGATTGCTGAATAATATCCATTGTGTATATGTACCACATCTTCTTGATCCAGTCATCTATTTTTGGGTTGTTTCCAAAGCTTAGCTATTGTAAATAGTGCTGCTATAAACATAGGGTGCAGGTGCCCTTTTGAATTAATGTTTCTGTGTCCTTTGGGTAAATACCTAGGAGTGGAATTATTGGATCATATGGAAACTATCTTTAGTAGGTTGAGGAATCTCCACACAGCTTTCCATAATGGTTGGACCAGTTTGCACTCCCACCAGCAGTGCTGGAGAGTTACTTTTTCTTCACAACCTTGCCAACATTTGTTGTTGCTCGTTTTTTTGATATGTACCATTCTGACTGGTGTACGATGGTATCTCATTGTAGTTTTGATTTGCATTTCCCTGATTACAAGTGATGTTGAACATTTTTCATATGCCTGCTGGCCATTTGCATTTCCTCTTTGGAGAAGTTTCTTTTTAGCTCTTCTGCCCATTTTTTGACTGGATTATTTTCTTTGTTTTTGTTGAGTCTCATCAGCACTTTGTAGATTTTTGTGATCAATCCTTTATCATTACCATTGTGTGCAAAAATTTTCTCCCAGCCGGTGGGGTTTCTCTTTGTTTTTGTTATTGTCTCTTTTGCTGTGCAGAAGCTCTTTAATTTGATATAGTCCCAGCTGTTTATCATTGCCTTCACTATCACTGCTTTGGGTGATGTGTCTGTAAAGATGTCTTTGAGGTGCATGTCATGTAGTGTTTTTCCTATATTTAGGAAATATTTTTAATTGTCACACTGGTGGTAGTTCTGGCATATGGTGGGTAGAGGCCAGGATGCTAGTAAACATGCCACCTTGCACAGGATAATCCCCTGCCTCCACCAAGAATTATCTGGCCCACAATGTCAATAGTGTTGAGACTGAATCTTTATAGAAATAATGTTAATGAATTTCCTTTGTATAACATAAAAAAAGTCTTATTTTGATTCCCATGAGATGGTGTTACTATTTGGAATATTAAAGTATAAAGGAAATTTGGGAAGAATCTATGCGAGGTATGAATAGGAGAAAATAAAAAAGAAACCAGAACTAGAGTCAAGAAAGGAATTAAAAAAATATGTGGGAAGGAGGCTTTTCATAAAACTCATGTTACTATTTTTAAGTGATGTAACCCAAATATGTGCATTTCTTATAATGTTTTGAAACTCTTGTGGGGCTCAGAAAATAAATCCTTGGATTTTAAAACAAGAAGTCAGTATCAGAATAATAGTTCTTACATATTTGTTATTGTTGGATGCTTCAATTTTGAAAGCCTTTTAAAAATAAATGGTTAATTGTAGGTTTTTTTATTTTTTGAAACAATTGTTCTTAAAAAAGAATGGAAGGAAAGAATTTGATTATATTCCTATATTGAACTTATTCTTTGCTAGTATTAGGGATAAAAGATACATAGTTTTAGCCTTGGTTTGAAACTAGCTGTGTGACTTTATATGGTCACTTAACCTGTTTTAAAATAGGTGCCCTCTAAATATCTGCTTGTTCACTTGTAATTCTCTTCTTTGACGCATTTCCTTTTCTCTGTGATGTTTACTGCTGAGTTATGATGAAAAAATTTTAGGCTAGCTGCATATGATTCAGCTTTTAATGTAACAGTAATGTCTCTACTAACTTGTATCCTTTCCTGTAAATTTACTTAAAAATATTTTAGTTTGAAATAATTATGGAGTGACAGGAAGCTGCAAGTAAATGTCCAGGATGATTTGATTTACTTTTTTTTTTTTTTTAAGATTTTATTATTTATTTATACAAGTGCCGGGGATTAGGCCAGATGCGCTGGAGGGTGAGAGGATTCACCAGAGACGGAGCGGAGCTTCTAATCTGTTACTCACTGAAAACATTTTGTTTCTGCCATCACTTTTAAATTGATTGTCCTAGTAGGTGAACAAATTTCTGTGATCCAGAATGAAATTATTAAGAAATTTATTCTTAATCATTATTAAGGAGTTTGAGAATTTTTTAGGAATTTGGGAAAATTCATTGTCATTGAAACATTTACTTTGAATGAGGAAATAGTCCTGCACTTAGTTATTTTGGGATGAAAGATTTTTCCACCCAGGCATATGAAGTTTGCATCTTTTAAGACCATGGGTTTCTTTTCACATATTTCGCAACTGAAAACTCAAAATGTCTGAGTAATATTTTATCAGAGTGTCCATAAACATGTGTCCATGGTCCCTTTAGTGAGTATGAGAATCCATTTCTGATATCTTATGTAATGACTTGAAGTCACATTTAGACAATATAATAAGCTATATTATAAAGATGTAAGGGGATTGCTGGTAAAGAGTTTGAAAACTGTTACTGTGACACATATTGAATATGATACAAATTGTGTTTTCATGTTTGTATAGCATTTTTTAAAATCTCAAACTCTACAAGTATGTAGACTTTTATTTTATTTTAATTTTTTTTAAAGATTTATTTATTCATTTACACAAGAACTGGGGTATAGGCCAGATGCGCGGGAGGGTAAGAGGATTCACCAGAGACAGAGTGGGGAACAGAACAGGCAGACTGATGAAATACACTGCTGAGGGGAGCAGGAAAGCTCTGCTGCGCCATGTGGGACCCTCGCTGGTTGGCTGGGATCGAACCGGCTGTGGACAGCTTCACAGTGGTGGCGCTCAACCGCCTGCACCACCAGAGGAGGTCCGTGTGTAGACTTTTGTATACAATGTTATCTTGGGAAAAGTTAGTTGTAGATACTTCATCTTAGTCTATCTTTGAAAATTTGAGGGACACTGAGCAATTGGTGAATGAATCAACATGTGATTGAATCCAAAGGAGGAGATAGATAATTGGTACTTTAAAATAGTTTATACTTTTTAATAAAAAATACCTTTCCCCATTTTATTTAATAAAGGGATTACAGAATGCACACTCATTATTAAAAAAGTTAAAGCAATGCAAACATACAGGAAATAAAAATAGTATATCTTGCAGAAAATGAAAGGTCCAAGACCTTATCTCTTTATTCTTTGACTCTTTCATTGTGGTAGCTATTTTAAACAAATTTGGTACATTTACTTATGATATTTTTATGTTAACTTATGGTATATTTTATAGTTTCACAAATATATATAATTGTAATATTTCATTAATTTTTTAATACAGTAAAAAATTAAAAGTAAAAAAAGTAAAAAAATATCTTTCTTTTTATCCTACTTCCTATGGATAACTACTGAAGAAATAACTTTTATTATAAACATTTTTAAACATAGCCAAGAGTAGAGAGAACAGTTATGAACTGTATACTTAGTTTTAGTATAATTTCATATGTGTGTCTTCCCACAAACACACTCTAGATTATATTAATGTAAATCTTAGATATATCATTTTGTTTTTGGATATCTGCAAGACATAAGGGCTTTTAGGGGGCTTCCCTAGTGGTGTAAGGAGTTAAGACTCAGCACTAAGAAGCTGCCATAGCCACTGCAGCATGCAGCATGAGTTCAATCCCCCGGCCAGGGAGGTGACCCACATGGTGCAGCAGACCTCTCCTGGCTCGCCCGCTGTTCCCCTCAGCAGTGTATTTCAGTCAATCTGCCTGTTCTATTCCCCACTCTGTCTCTGGTGAATCCTCTCACCCCCATACCTCTGGCCTGTATCCCAGCTCTTGCATGCATAAATAAATAAATCTTTAAAAAAAACATAAGGGCTTTTAAAAAAGAATCGTACCACAATATACTTATTACACCTAAAAAAATTAATAGCAATTCCTAAATATCATTAGATATCTACATTGTATTGTATTTTCCCTGATTATTTCAGAATTCTTTTTTCATTGATTTATTTGAATTAGTATCCAAATGGGTATATACATTGCATTCCATTTAATAAATTTGTTTGCTTCGTTGATCCACTGGATGGAAGATAAAACTGAGTTCTCTCCATCTTCCTGCCACTCTTAAACTTCTTGTATTTAATGTGGTTTTGATATATAGAGATATGGATATTTCATTCTTGGTCTTTAAAATGGTGGCCATCTACTTCATCAAGTTCACTGAAAAAAATTGACTTCTTAGCAGCAGCGATTCTAGAAGAAGAGATTGTGTTGGATACATTGAGAGACTGTACATTCTCCAACAGGGGGTGTCTTCCTAAGGGATTTGCATGAGTAGTTATGATTATATTCAATTTTTCTTAGGTTATCACTTTTGTATCTATCCTACTTAAATTATGATTCCACTTTGTGGTAAACTGAAGAGAATTAGAATTGGGAGTATGTCTGCAAAATTGTTTTGAGTTCTTCACTCAATAAAATTTAAATAAATGTTTTGCTTTTATGATGGAGTAATGGCAGTAGTTTTATTTAACACATTTGTTGAATGTGTATTTAATAGAATCAATCTACCAAGCAGGGCAGGTCACCTTTCCCTTTTACTGTCCTTGTCTATTGTGTACGTTTTCCATTATCCCAGAGGGTGTCATTCATGTTGAGTGAGGGTGGGAAACAGTAGGTAAGTGAGTTGTGGCAGACCCCAAATGCCTTCCCTCTGCTTCCCCACCAAAGCAGTTACTATATTTTCCTGTGTTTATATCTGAAGATTTCCTTAGAGAAAAAGAGTCATGGTTTATAGCAAAATATATTTGAAAATGATTTCTGTATCTGTACTTTGGGTAAAGACTGACATCCTTTTTTAGGAAGTACATTTTATTTCTCTCATACTTGCCTAGTATATTGTTATTTCCATGCAAAAACTTATGTAAAATATATCTACTTTGACATGGGAATGCAGATTATTTTTTAGTGATTTGAACATTCATTATTTGATATCCATGTTTTGGTACCATTAAGTTTTTGAGGTTCACTTTTTATATATTTGTTATTCCCATTTCTATAGGTTTGCAGCAGATCTCACATCTCTCTTCTTATGAAATTATAACTCCTTGGAGATTAATTAGAGAACGAAGAGAAGCCCCTAGGCCCTATTCAAAAGAGGTAAGTTATTTTTCTCTCTTTATTTTATGCCTGCATGACTTATTTATATATAATATAATGGAAAATTTGTACCTTTTGACTTCCTTTCCCCCCTCTGCTCCCCTTTCATTCTCCTCCCCCTTTCCTCCAGGCTGCCGCTTCTGGCAACCACCAGTTTGTTCTCTGTATCTATGAGTTTGTTTTTGTTTTTCAGATCCTACATGTAAGTGAGATCATACTGTATTTGTCTTTCTCTGTCTAACTTATTTCACTTACATAGTCATCTGAAGGTCCATCCATACCATTGCAGGTAGCAGGACTTCTTTTTTCACTGGCTGAATATTATTCCACTGTGTATGTAAAAAACACATTTTCTTTATCTGTTCATCCATCCATGAACACTTAGCTTGCTTCTATATCTTCCTGGAAATAATGCTGCAGTGAGCCTGGCATGCTTTTATCTTTTTGAGTTAGTATTTTAGTTTTCTTTATCTAAACACTCAGAAGTAGAATTGCTGCATCATGTTGTAGTTCTGTCTTTAATTTTTTTAGGACCCTCCTTGCTGTTTTTATAGTGGCTACACTAATTTACATTCCCACCTTGAAGGGGTCTCTTTCCCCCCTATTCTTGCCAACACTTATTCTCTTTTTTGATAATAACCATTCTATAGGTGTGAGGTGATATCTCATTGAAGTTTTTATTTGCATTTCCCTGATGATTGGTGACATTAGTACCTTTTCATGTGCCTTGTTGAAATGTCTATTTTTAAAAAAAATACATATATTCGAATTACTTCCATTTTTAAATCAGATTATTATTATTATTATTATTTTGCTGAGTACTTTATATATTTTGGTTATTAACCCTTTGTCAGATATATGATTTGCAAACACTTTTTTCCTACTTGGTAGGTTGTCTTTTCCTTTTGTTGACAGTTTCTTTGCTGTGCAAAAGCTTTCTAGCTTGATATAGTCTTACGTATTTATGTTTGCTTTTGTGCCAAACCCCAAAATTCATTACCAAGACCAATGTCAAGAAGCTTACTATGTTTCCTTCTAGGACTTTTATGGTTCAGGTCTTACTTTCAAGTCTTTAATCTATTTTGAGCTAATTTTTATATATGGTAAAAGATAGTGGTTCAAGTTCACTCTTTCATATGTGGCTATCCAGTTTACCCAACCCTATTTATTGAAGAGATTGTCCTTTCCCCATTGTGTAGTCTTGGCTCCTTTTCCCTAAATTAATTGAGTGGATTTATTTCTGGGCTCTTTAGTCAGTTTTCTTCATCTATGTGTCTTTTAAAACAGACACTACTATACTATGAAAGAGGTAAGTTATCTCATGAGAAATAGGTATTTAAATTTTTCTTTTTTTTCTAAAGACAAGGATATTATTTTCAGCAGTGATTGTTTCAGTGAATAACTTGAATTGTTGAGTAGCCCAACACTATTCATATGGAATGCCTGTCCACTGGACATTATCCTACTAAAATTATAGTATCTTTTTTTTAAAGACAAAATAGTTGATTTGAAATATAGCAGAGTGAATAGTTAGTTGAATAGAACTCTTTGCCAGGGAAAAGATGAAAGAATCTTCATAAAGATTTCTAATTCTTAACTGACCAGTAATGTTTATAGTTGTTTTAATGAGAAATATAATAAGAATTAACCTCTTAATTTGTGGTAAGTGGAATACTTTATGCTGTATCTTCACTGACACTGGAGAATAATGGTGTGCTATATGCATATATATATCATGTCTGGGGTTATTTACAAAAAAAAAGTGAGTTTTATCTTCATATCAGAAGAAATATACCATGTTGTTAATGGGATGCAAAGTACACAAAAACTATCTTTTATACTATTTTCTCTTACTGTAAAGTTGAAAGCTAATCTGTTTGGACTTCAACTGATTTTATAAACTCCCCAGCGTTATAGAAGTAGGAAAAATAGGGAACATTTTGATGATAATATTTGTTGAGTCCTCTCTTTTTTTAATGAAATAAAGAGTTATGGTAAAGTTGAACTTCCTGGTTCTAAAGGTCATGTTAAACATTTCTGGCTAATGAAATAGTGAGGTGCTGGGGAAGTTGTGTCAGTGTGTTTGCAGTAGAGAAGAGGATCCCATGAACTTAAGGATGTGTAAGTTACCTTATTTCAGTTCATTGACTCTGAGATATCATCAGTTGTAAGTCACACTATGAATTAATGTACCACTGATGAAGAGAGAAATGGAGTGCTACCCGTTACACTGCTGTTCCTTTATAAATGCACCCTGATTTCAGAGATGATCATATGAGGGGAAAATGTGTGTTTTAGAATTGATGAAATGTGATAAATTGTGTGAAGAGTCAAAATCTTAAAGGAATATGAATTTTCTTCATCTTTTGAATAACTAGAACTAGGTATAATCTCTTGAAGCTAGGAGGTTCATTTCACTTAAACTTTACTTCTTTATACTGTAGATAATACATGGATGGGCTGAATAAAAATAATTCCTGAAATTCTGGGTAAATTGTAAATGAATTTCAATAGCATTTGGATAAATATGTGATGATTTTTAATAGTAGCTTATTAAAAGATGGCAGGAGTGATCAGAGTATATTTTTATTGTTGGAGCAGACATAAAGTTCCCCTGTAAAACACTTTGAATCAGCACCATATTATCTTAATTGAAGATGAAATTTCCAGTGTCCTACAAATACCTGTTGTTGAAAAGTATATTGGTCTATTACTGTTCTTTTCTCCCTTTATGCATTTAGGTATCTTATGTCATTCAAGCTGAAGGAAAAGAGCATATTATTCACTTGAAAAAGAACAAGTAAGACATTTATTTTACTTTGACTTTTTAGTGGTTTTTTTTTTTCCTTTGGTGGTATAATATTTCTTTTGTAGTTAAATGTTGTTTAGCAGATTGATTAAAAAGTGAGAATGATAAGAGTAGAAACATGGAAAAGTTCATACTATTTTGTATTTGTGTTGAAATAGAGCCAGGGAGAATAAGTTTAAGAGAAGGTTGTATTTAAGAAGAAAACTTTATAGTTGAATGACAGTGAAAAAAAGACTTTATAATTGTCAATCTAGCCGCCATAACAAAATATGATCCCAGACATTTAGCTAAATGACTTAGCAGAAATTTTTTTCTTGTAGTTTTGGAGGCTGGAAATCTAGGATGAAGGTACTAGTGGGGTTGGTGTTTTGTGAGGGCTCCTCCCTTGCATTTCAGGTGGCCACCTTTTCCTTGTGAGCTCAAGTGGCCTCTCCTGAGGCTGCGTGCTCGGAGTGGGCAGAGGGAGGAGGAGCAGGTTCTCTTAGGTCTTTTTAAGGACATTAGTTTTGTTGGCACAGAGCCTCACCATATGACCTCCTATAACCATAATCACATCTGTAGTGACACCATCTCCAAATACAGCCCCACTGAGGTTAGGGCTTCAACATATGAATTTGGGGGAAGAGGAGGCATTCATTTCATAAGAATAGTCTCTCATCTCCCCCCCCCCTTTATTTTTTATTAATTTTTTTTTTTTTTTAGGTTCTGCTTCAGATTTATTTGTACAAATAGCACAGGAAGACACCAGTGCCCTGTAGACAGCAGCCTAGGGGTGACACCAGTCCTTCTGTCCTCACACGGGCAGACAGTGTTCTCTATTCTTAAGGCTTTGCGGGGGCCTGGGCACCTTTGGCAGCCTGGGTACCTTTGGCGGCCTGGGTACCTTTGGCAGCCTGTGTTCCTTTGGGGACCTGTGCTGCAGCCGCATCCTTGGCCTGGGTTTGAGCCTTGCCCTTTGGCCGCGAAAGCCTGAGACCCTTGGCGATGCGGGCACGTGCATGTTTCCCAAGCTTGGGGTGAGCGATGTAGGCAAGTCGGCTGAGCTTGCGGCTGCTGCCCTTTGGGATGTTAGCCCTGACCGTCTTGGTCTTTACAAGGGCCTTGATAGCCTCAGCACGTGCACTCATGGCCTTGGCATTGTTGGCCTGCATCTTCTTCAGGCCCTTCTTGTTATGCTTCTTGGCAAAGCGCATGTTCCTTAGGAACTTGGGATCTACCCCCTTAAGAGATTCGTATCTTTGGGATCGGGGTTTCTTGATGCCATTTCTGTGCCATTTTCGGGATTGGTTGTGTGTGGTGTGGTTCTTGGACTTGGCCATGTCTGCACCGAGGCCCGCGGCTCCCCAGGCGCCTTGAGCCGGAAGAGCTATTTTTTATTAATTATTATCATTAATTTAGTGAGATAAATTACTTTAAATTTAAATAGATAAATTCTTACTTTACATCCTTGCAAGTTTTTTACACTATAGGATTTCTTCCCATCAGGCGTGGTAACCTTAGCTCTCCCACCACCAAAGCACCCATAATCCTCCACCATAGTCCATGGTACTCTCCCTCTCACTCCCCCTTTTATTTTATTTTAAAAAAAATATTTATTTATGGGTAGAACTGGGGTGTAGGCCAGAGGTGCAGGTGGTGAGAGGATTTATCAGAGACAAAGTAGGGGACAGAACAGGCAGACTGACTGAAATACACCGCTGAGGGGAGCAGCGGGTGAGATAGGAGAGGTCTGCTGTGTAATGTGGGTTGCTCCCTGGCAGGGCATCAACTCAGGCTGTGGATGTGATAGCACTGAGCCTAACCCCTATTCTACCAGGGAGGCCTTTCCCCCTCCCTTTTTTTTAAAGATTTTTTTTTTCAAAGACTTACTTATTTATACAAGAACAGGGTGTAGGCCAGATGCGCGGGAGGGTGAGAGGATTTACCAGAGACAGAGTGGGGAACAGAACAGGCAGACTGACAAATTACACTGCTGAGGGGAGCAGCAGGTGAGACAGGAGAGAGAGGTCTGCTTCACCCTGTGAGATTTTCGTAGGCTGGCTGGGATCGAACTCGTCCTACAGAGGCTATGGACAGCTTCACAGTGTGGCATTCAACTGCTGCACCACCAGGGAGGCCCTCTCCCCTGCTTTTAATCCTTTCTCATTTGGGCATGTTTTCACCCGGTTCCACTTTGGTAATCAGTGTTCTTCGACTGCCTTTTTAAAATGCCAAGTTACTGACTGTGTTGAGTCACTCACTTTCCTGTGGCCTGTCCTGTTCCCTTCTTTTTTCTTATGTAACAAAACTCCCAATATTGTGAGTGAACCACCCCAGGAAAAAAAAAAGCTAACTAATAAACACATTTACTCTGTAGTGTGAATGATGGGCTATGGAATTTTGTTGTCAGGGAAGTGCTATTCAGAGTGTCCTGGAACCACCACCACCAGCAGCACCTGGGAGTTTGTCAGAAATGCACATTCTTTCCAACCCTGGAATGAATCACAATTTTGGGAGGGGTAACAATAATTTGTGTTTTACTTATTTTTGAAAATGCCTGTTATGATCTCCCAAACCATAAACTTAGATACGCACAGTAGTTTTCCATATAGTGAAGTGGGATGTGTGAAACCAGGCGTAAGCGTGCCAGGACAAAACTGCACAAGCAGGTGGCCAGACTCCTGCAATTACCTTTTTTTGTAGTACCTTTTTTTTGGTCCTGTCCCTTTTTATTGCTTGAGTGTATTTATTCTTATTCCTTGCCAAATTTTGAATGAGAATCTAAAAAAAAAAAAAAAAAAGAGGTCACCAAAGGACTCTGCTCCCATGTGAAAGGGAGTAGTGAGCCCTAGGACTCTGTTGCAAAGAGTGGTATTTAAGGAATTCTTGTTGGTATTGTATTGCGAGGGTCATTTTTCTTCTGTTCAATTCTTATACATTTTTCAGTCAAAAATTTTAAGAAGTCAGTGTTTTAACAAGCTTTCTGAGATTTTTATGCCTCCTCAAGTTTGAATAGTACTTTTTATTTAGTCTTGATGTTGACCCCAAGGGTTTGAACTTCCCTGGCAGAATTGCAGGCAGTGTGACATATTTTCAGACAGAGAGGCTTTCGTAGCCTGCTACTGTATTTGATGGACTTATTGAACATTTTCTGTGTTCTGTACCAGGTACTTAGAAATGTATCATTCAATGCTTAGAAAACTCCTGAAAGATCCCTCTTGATGTAAATATGTACGGACACCTAATAGATCTAAATATTTTCTCCTGCTCTGCTTTTCCACAAGGAGATGTAAATTAATTAAAATTATTTCAATAAAATATAAGTTCCTTATGTTTGCATAGTTTTCAGCTTATAGAGCATTTTCTTAACTTTATCTCATTTATCATATTGTCATAACAATTTTGTAATAGATCAGTTTTTATTGCTGCCATCTTGTGTCCCTGTATGTGTGTTGGCCAGTCTGTATGTGTGTCCCAGCTAATCTGCCCGAGATCCCTGAGCCAACTCTTTTCCCCCTCGTGCCCCTCTTTCGCTCCAACAAGTTGAAAGAAACTATCATGAACTAGGAGAAACTTGACAAACAGCAGGTATAAATGTGCATTGGTGGAAATGAATTGCTCAGAGAGAAGGAGGTGGTTCATAGAACAGCAAGCGATATGAAAACTTGTAAACAGAATAGAAGTATTCATCTTTTCTCCTTACCTCATCCCTTCAGAATTAGGAAATTCTTAGAGAGTGTCTTATTTTCATGGCAATTTAGTTATTGGCATAAGTTCAGCAATATTCTAGTCACCTGTAATAGGACACAACGGAAACTTTGGTTATAGTCTTTATACTTTGATTAGCATGTCACATTTGAGAGTGATGAGCATTGAGTCAGCTATGACCATAAAGCTTTCAGAGACTCAGGCAGACTTTAAGGAACCAGTGTTTGTAAAGTCCCTCTTGGAAAAATGAGACCATCCTGGGTTTATAGGTTTCCTGACTTATAAGTGAGTAAAAGAGGTCAATTTATGGCAGGTCCAGAATTACCTCAGGGTACTTTGGGGACCTGGAGCAGAGAGAAATTCATCCAAATTTATAGGTATTACAGGCAAAATCTGGTGGTGAGTGCTTGAGTTGGCTATCTGTCTTAAGAGGCTGTTAAAAAATGCAATCTGAGATTCCATATGAACATTCCAGCAAAGCAAACTCACACAAGGGCAAAATTGTCAGTTACTATATTTTTCTGCACTTATATAAATAACCAGGCCAAGTTTAATGAGACCAGACTTTGCAAACAGTTAAGTTTTACTTTGAGTATTTTGGGCAGAAATGGGGATGTTCGTAGAGAAAATTTTTTTTTGTCTCGATAGAATATTATGATGCACCCTTGCCAATTCCATCTTGTACATTTAGATCAGTACTTGCTAAATCCTGAATTCTTTTAGTTTTCTTCAGTACCTGCTTACTGCCATCCAAATTGCCACTTGTGTTTTTCCTTCCTTTGGTCTTGAAATCACTGAGAACTACCAATGCCCTTTTCCTGAAGTTCTACAAACTGCAGCTACACAACTTGACATAGACTTAGGTAAAAAATGACCACAACATGTCACGGATGGGCAACTGTGCCTCCTACTGTATGGACTACTCAGAATGTTCATAAGACGACCTAGTGCCATCACCAGAGACTTTCAGATTGTGCACCAGGGATGTTTGGGATGTTTGTCAGGTGGCTGATGCTGTCCTTGTATCATCTGAAGATGTTTTAAGCTCCAGTCTAAAAATCTTGATTTTTGCCCTCTGAACTCAGAAACTGAGCTTCTAACCATTTATCTTTGTTTTTCTTTTATTTTCTTAGCAACTTTCCTCATTAAATGCCTGACAGCTATCACCATTCAGCAAATATTCTTTACTAGCAAGTCCCAGTAGGAGATTTGGCTGGTTATTAATGGGTGTTTGAGAAATTGGATTTTTATTGCTCACAGAAAAGAATGTCTCTTTTTCTGTGAACAGGAGGGGAAACTGACCAAGGCTCTTTGCTTGACTAACTTTAGTCAGCTTCCTGAACCTGGACCCATCTGTGCACCTCCTTGTAAAGTCCAGTTTTAGCAAGAACCCTCCATCCACCCTCCATATTTGATCGTGTCTGTTCAGATTCCTCTCCCTCCACCACCTTCCTGGTGATCTCTGTCACCCTGACCTGTCTAGAGCAAGAATTCTGCTAGATCAGTTTAGCTATAACCTCTCTCAACCCTCACATTTCCTCTTAAGTTTCATACTTCATAACCCACATCCTGTAATGTCTACTTGCTTCTGTTGTATCTGAAGTTGAGGCTGATCTCTTTCCCCTAGGGTAATAGTGCACTGGTCTGCATAACTTTTGTGATGACCTTGAATAAAGGTGGTCTCACCATCTTTTTTTTTTTTTAAAGATTTATTTATTTATTTATTTATTTATACAAGAACTGGGGTACAGGCCAGATGCGTGGGAGGGTGAGAGAATTCACCAGAAACAGAGTGGGGAACAGAACAGGCAGATGGATGAAATACACTACTGAGGGGAGCAGCGGGTGAGACAGGAGAGGTCTGCTGTGCCATGTGGGACCCTCGCTGGCCGGCCGGGATTGAACCAGCACTGCAGAGGCTGTAGACAGCTTCACAGCGCGGCGCTCAACCGCCTGTGCCACCAGGGGAGGCCCGGTCTCACCATCTTTAATAAGTGTCATTGAATAATTTTTTTCTTTAACAGAGATAACCCTATCTTTATATATATGGCTTAACTGCTGAGCTCTCTTGACATAGAAGGAAGGTGTAGGAGTCTGTAGTAAATGTTTCCTTCAATAACTTTTACCTCTGTACTTAGGTTAAGGCAATGAGTGCTACCTGTTTACATATAACTTCTAGAAAAGAGTAAAGCCATGTTTTTTTCTAGAGACATAATGTACTAGAGATGTATTGGAAATTTGAGGTATTACTTATGTATGTTAAGTTTTTGGCAACCAGCATTCACGGTCTTTCGAACAAATGTGTAGCTTCCCCCTTCTCATGAGGAAGTAATGCACATGATTTCAGGTTCAAGGCCATTCATGAACTTTTAGTGTTATGTTAGCTCCTTATTTAAATAATTTATCAAGTGAAAGTTTTTATTCCTGCCTATTTCTTGTAGGAATAATGCCTTATGAGTTGTATCCTTAGCTGTAAATAGATAAAATAATTTTAAGTGGTATGTTTTGTTCTTTCAGTGACCTTTTGCCCAAAGATTTTGTAGTTTATACCTACAACAAAGACGGGGCTCTGATCTCTGACTATCCTGATACACAGGTAATGTATTTTCCTCTTGATTCTGTAGCAGAATTTTTAAAAATTATAATTTTACAATGAGTTCTGTTCACATACCCAGGACTGTTATATCACACAACCTCAAGGCCTACTTTTAATGGTATAATAAATGAAGTGTTCCTGGCAGGGGTGAAGGGTGAGGTGGCAGCTACCTTTACATAGACTAAATTGTGTCTTATAGGTCTCTGGGTACTCGGTAGGTTTTTTTTTTTTTTTGTTTAAAGACATAAAATACTGTTGTATATAATGATAATCTTTACTAATTATGAAGAGGGCAAGTTAAATACATTTTGAAAATAGTTGTTTTTTGTTTTGGTGAAAGTTGATATCACCAAAAGGACATCTTACTTCCTATTAAACCATTTGATTTTCCATTAGTATTTAGTACAGAAAAAACACTTGTTTGCTGTTATATGTTCTAATTTTTGCTGAAAGCACTTTCTAAAGAGGTATAGTCCATTTTGCATCAGAGAACAGATTGCTCCTGAGAAAGGAACCGGCTGGGAACACTTAAAATAATCATTATATGTCAAACTTGGCTTTGTGTATTTTTAATTAGAGTATAAGCGTTTCTAGTTTTACTTGGGAGGAGTATTTTGCACTTTCTTTTGGCAATTTGGTATTATGTGTATTTTTTCCTTTTGTGATAGTTTTATGAAAAGTCTTTACTCCCATTAAGTATGTATTATATCCCCCCTGAACTTTGTAGTGTTTTGCTGGGTTGAATTGTGTGTATGAATAGTGTACTTTTGCTGTACTCTTCAAATAAAGAGGAGGCAAATATTTAATTTAGATTAATTATAAGTAAATTAAAAAATAAGAAAATGCTGACTGAGCCTTACCCTTTTCCAGTCCACTTTCTATTCCTTTATTTTAGTGTTCTGCTTATCCATTAGCAAATTAATAAAGGAACTTAAATTTACATGGTAGCATAAACTAGATTACAAATAAGCCATCTTTCCACTCATTTATAGATCCAATCCTCCATCTAAAGAAAACCATGGCGCAAGGCCAAAGATAACATAATTTATACCATTCAACAAAAGCAGTCATCATTTCCTTCTTGGAGATGTTTCTTGTCATGGGATTTGGAGACCTGAATCTTGGCTCTGTTGTTTATTTTTTGGTTAAGTTACTTTAACCGGTTTGTGTCTTAGTATTCCTACCTTTAAATGGGAATAATAACTAGAACTTTGTGAAACTATTGGGAGGTTTAAATTAGTAGTACTTGTAAGCTACTTAGTCTATTTTTAATTCAATAAATATTATCATATAAAGTATATTACTTTAAATTGCTAAAAATAGTAGAAATTTATATAATTGTTATCTTAAAGTATTATGGAATAATGCTTTCCCGGGTTTTTCAGAAATATAAATTAAGATCAGTGGAGTTGTTTGTTCACTAAAGTTATTGAATATTGTTTAGGTAGATTAAAGTGTGATTGTAGATTTGAGATACAAATTTAAATGCTGGTATCAGATTTTTTCTTTTTGCATAAGGCTAAATTGTCAAATATCTTTGATATATAACATTGATTATAAAATCCAATTATATTACATTGATAAAATTTAAATGTTTTTCCTCACAATTCTATTATTTAAGATAAAAGTAATTTGTAAAGCTATTATTTGGCTTTTTGTTATCTGTGTCTTTCACAAAGACTATTGATTTTTTTTTTTACAAAGAAACAAAGTTTAAATAACCACTTTATGTGACTTGCTCTGTGAAATAAAATTCCAAATGACTATATCTTAGAACTTTGGGGTACATTGCAACTGACTCAGAAAATCTCTTAACTAACTCCCCTAATGAACTGATGTTCTTTGTTTCCTCTGAAAAATTCTGGCCTCTTGAGGCCAGAATCTGTTATAATTTCAAGTTTGTTCTGTACTCTTCTGTTCCCACTAGTTCATATCGTGCTTACAGTTTTTTTTGTTTCTGAAACCCGCCATTTGTACCTTTACTGTAATCATGCAGTGTGCTTATTTATTAATTAATTAACCATTATGGATTTATTAAGGAACATACCAGGCATGAATATTTAGTAATGATAGCACTAGCTTTCTGAAAGTATTGTAATACATAGGAGAGCAACCAACATTTGTTTATATTGCCCATTTTAACACTTAGCATATTTAGTCTCAAAACATTAAAAAAGAAAGAAAGCACTGATCTCTCTAAATAAAAAGGCACGGACCTCCCAGGTGGCACAGTGGGTTGAACGCAGCCTGTTGAGCTGTCCGTAGCCTGTGCAGCACAGGTTTGATTCCCGGCCGGCCAGGGAGATTCCGACATGGCGCAGCAGACCTCTCCTGTCTTGCTCGCTGACCCCTCAGCATTGTGTTTTCGGTAGATCCGCCTGTTCTGCTTCCCGCTCTGCCTCTGCTCTCTACCCCAGTTTTTGTATAAATAAATAAATCTTTAAAAAAAAATAAATAAAATGGCACTTAAAATCTTATTTTGCCACCTCTTAAATATAGTTTAAATTTGTCCTTTTTGATGCACCATTTTGTAAAGGGTGACATGTATTTTCCTTTTAGTATGCCAATTGCCTTCTATTTTATTTTTTTTTCACAAAGGTAGATGAGTGGAGTTTTTCTTAAGACAACATGTTTGAACATATTCTTTGTGGACAGACTATTGAATAACAATAATGATTTTTTAAAATATTTATTACATCATTCTTCATATTTGTACAATGTATGATTTCCCCGTGAAATTCCCACCACCATTTCAACCGTGCACCATCACCATAGTCCCTTGTGCTCTTTCCACCCCATCCCGACCATTCTCCATCCCCCTCCCCTACAGAATGTCTCTGATCTATAATTGCCTGTTTAATCATGCAGTGTAATTAGATGTTTTGTAAACTTACAAAATAGGATTAAAAAAAAGAAATGGGATGTTTTGAAAGATTTAATAAAAACAAGTTTTTTTAAACAATACCATCAAGTTGGTAAACTAAATGTCTAAGGCTGAATTTCAGTCATGTCTAATAAGAGAACTTGAACTGTAGTTGAAAGTAGAAACCTTTGAGTGCTGTGAGTCACTGTATTGCCGACTCATAAGTGCTACCTCATCTGTAATAATGGAAGGTATTCATTTTCCTCTAGTTAGTTGACAATATCAAAACACCAGCAAGAAAAACATCAGTGGTTTTCAATTGCCACACCCTAGAAAAAGTTGTAAAATCTTGAAATTTACAGTCCTTACTAATATTGTTTGTTTCATTATCCCCATAGTGCACTTTGTAGCAAAAGAAGATCCATGTTTAAGTGTTGTAGTCATTTAGGAGTCCATTTAATTTCCTTGAATTTAGAAATCTTTAGTTTTTGCATTTCAGGACAATGGTATTTTTGAAGAGTAAAGGCCAATTTTTGTAGATGTCCTACATTGAGTATTTTTAATGTTTACTCATGATCACATTTAGGTGTGCACTTTTAGCAGGATTACTACTGAAGTGATAGCAACTGGTTCTCAGTTTATCATATCAGCATTTGCTGCAATTAGTCCAATTGCTGGTGGTGTTCATTTGGTGAGGGGGTTGTCTGCTAATTTCTCTTCTGTAAATTTACTGTTTTCACCTTTGTAATTAGCTTTATGGTTATATGGCTTGGGACTATGTAAATATCTTGCTACTTCTTAAATTTTTGCCCAGTAATTTTAGTATTTAGTATTTGCCAGAATCAGTTGTTATGTTAAAAGGGTGATCTCCTAATTTTATCAGTGATTCCATATCATCAGTGCTTTCTATAATACAATCAGGAAGAGTTTTCCCTCACTTACTGATATTAGTGCAGACTCATGGGTTCTTATCATGTGAAATTGAAAATATTTTCATTTATGTAAGGGCATTTTTATCTTTTGTGAATTGTCCATGTCTTCTGCCCAGTTTTCTCATCTTTCCCCCTCAATGTTTAAGAATATTTTAAAAGTTAAAGTTAAGGACAGTAATCCTTTATTTAAGATATAAGTCACAAATATTTTGTCCCAGTTGGAATGTATTTTTTTTGGTTTTTGGTGTTTATTTCCCTATAGAAATTAAAAAAATTTTTAATGTAGTCAAAATCATCAGTTTTTTACTGCATTGAGTTTTTGAATGATAGTTAGAAATCTTTTTCCATACCCAGCTTAAAGAGGAGTTCACCCATGATTTTTTCAGTTCTTAAATTGTTTCATTTCTTATGTTTAGATTCTTGGAATTTATTTTTTCTTAGGTATAGTGTGGTATGAATCTAATTTTTTTCTTATTCAAATTTCAAACCAGTGGATTGAGTACTATTTATTAAAAACTGCAACTTTGCCCCAGTGATTTGAGCTGCCACATGTATAAAATTCCATATGTACTTTTGGTTTATCTTGAGACTTTGCATACTGTTCCACTGGTTGGTCTCAATGACCAGTTCTCTATTATTTAATTAGTAAGGCTTTAATTATATATTTTAATGCCTGGTAGAGCTGATGTGCCTCACCCCTCTTAGCTTTTTTTTAAAGTGTTTTGTAATTGTGTGAAGATGAGAAAATGTTGTATTATACTAAAAAATCTGATAGTATTAGTAATATAAAAAATTCAAAGTGATATTATGCTGTATTTCTACTAGCTAGTGTCTTATTCAACATTAAGAATAATGGTTCTTTAGTTTTTTCTTTTGTACAGAAGTGCTTTGTTATACTGCAAATTACATTTTTCATTCTACATTTTTTTTAAGATTTATTTTTATTTATTTATGCATACAAGAACTAGGATGGAGGCCAGAGGTGGCGTGGGGGTGGTGAGAAGATTCACCAGAGACAGAGTGGGGAGCAGAACAGGTGGCTCTACTGAAATACACTGCTAAGACGAGCAGCTGGAAAGACAGGAGAGTTCTGTTGCACCATGTGGGTTATCTCCCTGCCTAGGAATCAAACTCATGCCACAATTGGCTGGCGATAGCTTGATAGTGCTGAGACTTTAACCCCTGTACCACCAGGGAGGGCCTTATTCTACATTTTTCATTTGGGATCTGTCCATGTTGCTATATATAAAAGTGATTTATTTTAATTTCATATATACTACATATAATTACGTAAAATGATTTAGATGGCTAAATGTATTAACAATTATAATAATAATGATAATAAGTGTACATATAGGAAGAGAGGAAATCATCTATTCAAAATAATTTTATTTTGCCAATTTTCATGCTGAATTTTCTTACCTTGACATCAATAGCCTGTCACAAGGTTCTTTTGTATTAGATGTTAATTGGCCACTGTTGTTTCTTGGATTTACTGTGATATAAAATGTTAACATGACATAATGCTATCTTGTTCTACTTCTAGGCTTAAATATCATTGGGGTAGGGCTGTTTGTGCTTAGCATCCTCTGGAATTTTGTCCTAACATGTGTATTTTAGGGTGATAGTAGGTGGTCTGAAGATTGTCCAAATAATGCCATATAATATGAGATGCCAGTGTATAAATAAGATTTTTAGTTTACTGACCTTAAGTAACTTTGCTAGTTCTACCATTTCTTCGATGATTTTTAGCATTGTAACAGTATTTGAAGATAATACAGTTTTTGTCATTTAGAATCATTGTCATTATCGGGGCTACGTGGAGGGAGTTTATAATTCATCCATTGCTCTTAGTGACTGTTTTGGACTTAGGTAAGAAATTTTCTTCATCAGCTTTTTTCTTTCCCTCGTTCCTTATCTCCTTACTTATCTGTTTCCAAATGAAGTAATTTTGGGGGACTTAGTATTAGATTTTACTTTGGTGTTGCTGAAGGTCATACAGCTGTGTTTCTGTTATCATTCTTGGCATGTTTATTTAGGAAAATATTACAGTTTATGAAATAAAATGTTAATATCTAAGTAGAAAATGTCACTTTCCTGAGACTACTAAATAGGTTTTGCTATTTAAAATAAATTATACTTTAAATTTCTCTAGTGCTTTATGTTAAAAAAAAATTCGGCTATCATCATTTATCATAATGACTGTGAAAAGGGACTCATCTCAATGTATAGGTGAGCAAACTGTATAGGTAAGCAAATGTATAGGTGAGCAAACTGAGATTTAGAGAAATTGTATCACTTATCAAGTGAAGTGCTAACAATATTAAAATAACATTTCTTGAAGACCTGGCAGAATGATACTGCTGGTTAGTTTGTTGCATGAATGATTAAAGTAATATATTTCAATTTTACTTCTCAAACCAGGTGGCTATTATTATTATCTTCCTTTAAGTAATAACTCTGCTAGAACAGTTACTGTGTTTTGCACTTATTAAATAAGTTAGGTTTTCAGGGGTTAAGTAACTGAGTCCCATGGGGAGTAGAGAATATTTGGGATTCAAACTCTGGTCCTCTGGCTCTAGATTCTAGTATTTTAGCAACTCTTTAGTATTGGTTCCCATTATAAGGTAAGCACTCAGAGGTTAAGTAATTTTCAGGGAGTGATGCTTGTTAAGCAGAAGTCTTGAACTTTAAATTTGATCTGCCTCATTCTAGAGCCTCTATATTTTTCTCTACCTTGCTACCCTTTTTTATACATGTTAAGAACTAGGACTTGAATTCAGGTTTTCTGATTTCTTCTGTGTGTTTTTCTTCATCCTTACATATATGTGTGTTGCAACTTTAAGAGGATTGCTGCATATAGAAAATGTGAGTTATGGGATTGAACCTCTGCAAAACAGCTCCAATTTTGAGCACATCTTTTATCGAATGGATGATGCCCACAAAGAGCCTCTGAAATGTGGAGTTTCCAATAAAGACATTAAGGAGGAAACCAAAAAGAATGAAGAGGAAGAGCCTCCTAGCATCACTCAGCTACTCCGAGTAAGGAAATTATTTCTTCATGACTCAGACTAAAGTTTTAAAACAATCATAATTATATATTTATGCATTCAACCAATACTTTTAATTGTGGTTGTGCCAACTATGTGCCAGACATTGTGCCAGACATTCTAGGGGATAAAGAGCAACATAAAGTTTCTGAGCAACATAAAGTTTCTGCTACCAATTTGAATCTATAGCCAAGCTTCTATGTGTTTTGGAAACTAGGGCTTAAATCTTTAACGGTAATTGTGCTTTTTTTTTAAAATCATTGATTTAAAGAGCCCCATTGCATCTTTTTAGAGAGCAGTAGAATTTTTTATTTGGATAGCTTTTGCACAAACTGAATTGGTGATTCTTGAGTTCTATGTTGGGGACAGAGGTGGAGATTTAGCCTTAGGATGTTAATTTTTTAGATGTCTTCCAGGGACACTTGTATACCTGTTTTGAGTCTTCATTAGAATTCCTGGACTTAATTTTGACATGAATCTCTTATACTGGAAGGTTTCTAGGACTTGGCCAGTGTATCTGTAGGCAATGCACTTTTCTACATATGAGGTGATACTGCTACTTTGGAAGAGGCCTGTGCCTCTCCTTGTGTATTTTAATTAACTTATACTAGTTTATGACATTATTTTCATTGCCTTTCTACCATTTATTCTTTTGCCTGTTAAACTGTTTTTTTAAACTTTAATCATTGAAAGCCATTAAATTTTAGCTAATCCTATATGTAATAAGAATTTCAATGAAATCACAAAATTAGTCATTTAAAAATTTTTATCAAAGTGTCATTGGCTCATAACATATGTTTCAGGTTTACAGCATTATATTTTGATATCTATATATACTTCATTATGATCATCATCAAAAGTCTAGTTTCCATCCACTACCATAGAATTGACTCCCTTTACCTAATTCACCCCCCCCAACCCTCTTCTCCTCTGTTGTCACCAGTCTATTTTCTTCAATAGTTTAAAGCTATAGCTAGTCACTTTTTAAAGTTGTAACCTTGTCTCTTCTGCTCTGACTTGTTAATGAATAGTTATTAGTAAATAGTCTTTCTTCCCCACTTACATGTATACTTCATCATGATTGCATAGTATTGGGGTTTTCCACTAAAGTGTGAGTGTGTATAGTATGATATTACAAAATTAGTAAGTCTGCTTTGGAAACTTGGTAAGCCAAATTATATTTCACTAGAATTTTTCTTAGATCAGTACAGATAGCAGATACTACTTTATTTATTATTTTTTTTTTTAATTTTTTTTCTTTTCTCTTTTTTTTTTTCTGCATTTTTTTTTTTTTAAAATTTATTTATTTATTTATACAAGCACTGGGTACAGTCAGAAGCGCGGGAGGGTGAGAGAATTCACCAGAGCCAGAGCGGGGAGCAGAGCAGGCAGAAGGACCGAAGTACACTGCTGAGGGGAGCAGCGGGCGGCAGGAGTGGTCTGCGCGCCATGCGGGACCCTCCTCCGGTGGCCGGGAAGCAGCCGGGGATCGAACCGGTGCTGCAGAGGCTGCGGGCAGCTTCGCAACCCAGCGCTCAATCGCTGCGCCACCGGGAGGCCCAGATACTACTTTATAGAAAAACATGTTTTGACCCAAAATTATAAAGCTATACACCTGAAACTTAAAGTTAAAAAAAAAAGTCACCTCAACATTTATTAGGAAAACAAACAATAAATAAGTCCTAAAACCATGTTTTTGACTTAATTGATACAGGATGCTGTAAGTAAAATAATTTTATGTTGCTAGTAGACATGAAATAAATTACCAGAGATTAGGGTAAGATCATTATATATGAACAACATGACCATATGACTTTTTGTTTGTGTTTATGATGTTTATGTTTTGACAGAGAAGAAGAGCTGTCCTGCCACAGACCCGATATGTGGAGCTGTTCATTGTTGTAGACAAGGAAAGGGTAGGATTGGTGACAGTTTTTCTTCTTTTTCATGAAAAGCAAATGAGAAGTGAGCATCTCTTGTAGGAAATATAAAAAAAAATATTCGTGTTGACTTTTCTTAATCTAAAATAACTTATTTCCTTTAAACATACTTAATACTCACAATACCACCAGAAGCTGAATATAGAGATTACCTCTAGCTTTATTTTTTTACTGGTGATATTTTTCTCTGTTTTTTTTTTTGGGGGGGGGTGTGATTTATTTATGCTGAATTGCTTAAATGAAATAGTACTGCCTTTCGAGGTCTTGAGACCATTTCAGATGACTTTTTAAAGTACTGCAGTGATAAATCCTAATAATCAGGTGTTGCTTTGTTGCCTAATGAAACTAGATTTTAGGATTTTAGCTTAGAAACTGTTTTTTAAGATTTTAGCTAACCTTTACTTCACATTAAGAAACAGAAAACTTCTAGGTCCTGGCATTCTTTAAGAAGGGAATAGAGTTCATAGCAGTTACAGTTAATTTCATTGCACAGAATAACTTCAGGGCATTTTCTTTATTCAAACTTCAGAATTGTGTCTTTCTTAACTAAGAAAATTAATGTGTGCATTTCAGCATTTACAAAATTAGGAGTTTTAGATGTTGTTCTTATGTATTTAATGTACAGATTCTTCCAAATGTTTTGTCTGATTTTTATTGCAAACTTTGTAGAAATTTAATGATTGGCAATTCTTTTCATGTGATCTACAGAAATCATTTTGAAGATTTTTATGGTTTAAAAAGATTATTTATGTAGATATGTAAGGAAAAAAAAGCCGTATGTAAAGAAACTCAAATGTAAGTTCACTATCCTCAAGTGTTAGAAGGAGAAAGCATAGGGAGAATACCAGTGAGCATGAGTTCTGCCCCAGATAGTGGATGAAAAGTTTCTGTAGAGTGTTTGGACAAGTGATAAAAATAGACATTTGAAATGTTTCCCTTTATTATATACCGGAGAAAAAGTTCAAAATAAAAACAGTTCCATTTTAATAAATTCTTGTCAAACTATTATATATATTTTCTTCCCTCAGAGAATCATGATTAAATTCTGTTTAAGATCTGAGATATTCTGACATTAATGTCCTCATCATAGAACAAAACCATACATTATTTTTTAAAAAAGATTTTTATTTATTTTATGCATACAAGAAATGGGGTGTAGGCCAGAGGGGCGTGGGGGTGGGGGTGGTTGTGGTGAGGGAGGGTGAGAGGATTCACCAAAGAGAGTGGGGAGCAGAATAGGCAGATGGCTGAAATGCACTGCTGAAGGGAGCAGCTGGTGAGACAGGAGAGGTCTGCTGCGCCATGTGGGTTGCTCCCTGGCCGGTGGGGGATTGAACTGGTGCTGCAGAGGCTGCAGATAGCTTTATAGTGCTGTGTTTAACCCCTTGCACTAGCAGGGAGGCCCTAACCAAGATTTTAGAAATGGTTTATTGGTAATGTTTTTAGATTACAGGGTGAAAGGGTCAGGATATCCTTTAGATTGTCCTTTATTACTGTATCTATACAGAATATAAAGATTAAAGATATCCTGTAAAGATTACTTTGATTATTCTAAGTTCTACCTTTGAAAAATGAATGAAAATTTTTTTATATTAAAATGAATAAAAACACCTTAAGAATAAACATTTTAAAATTGCATTGATTTGGAAAAACTATGCTTGTTCACTATTAACACCTGTAACTTATATTTCTTGTATTCCTATTTATTGTTAAAATGCATTGTTCAGGTTTATTTGAAATGCTGGTAATGTCTTAATGAACCAGTTCTTGGTTCAGAGGAAATATTTGGATTCTTATTTTCATTGTAACGGTTGTAGAGTTTTCTTTCCTTAGATTTTTTGATGATTGATTTTTCCCTCTTTGCTTTTCAGTATGACATGATGGGACGAAATCAGACAGCAGTGAGAGAAGAAATGATTCGTTTAGCAAACTACTTGGATAGCGTAAGTTGTATTTTCGATCAGATGGAATTATTATATCTTATTCTATCAGAGTCTCAGAGCAAAATTTAAAAATTATCTTATTTTAACTCTGATTATTATGGGGCTTAAATAATTCAATCTTTCAGCAATCTGTTTCCTAATTTGTTTTGTAATGTTATGTTTGAAAGAAAAGTGAAAAACTTTGAGACGAGCAAGAGATTTTATAATATAACCTGTCTTCAAAGTAGAGAGAAGAGACTCCGATACTTTGGGATTTATGAAAATATCTTCTAATTTTTACTGAGAGGATCTTAGTTTGAATAAGGCAAGCTTCTGCTCTGAAATCACAGCATGACAGTGTTTATATGTATGTGTATATGTACATGAGATTTGGCTTGAGATTCTGGAGTTCAGTGGGAGATAATGAAAAAATAGGTACATGTTTGTCCACAAAACATTCCCGTAATATGAACATCAATAATAATGATAATGAGGCTTCCCTGGTGGTGCAGGCGGTTGAGCACCGCACTGTGAAGCTGTCCACAGCCTCTGCCATGTGAGTTCGATCCCGGTCGGCCGGTGAGAATCCCACATGGCAAAGCAGACCTCTCCTGTCTTGCCCGCTGCTCCCCTCAGCAGTGTATTTCATCTGTCTGCCTGTTCTGTTCCCCGCTCTTTTTCCAGTGAATCGTCTCACCCTCCTGTGCATCTGGCCTGTACCCTGGTTCTTGTATAAAAAATAAATCTTAAAAAAAAAAAACGATAATGATCACTATCATAGTGTTTTATGCTCATACTGAATTTATATATAAATCATTGGGTGTTATTTATTGTGTGCCACAAAATGAGCCAACTGCACATTTATTAACCTATTTATTCCTTACACTATCTCTGAAATAGATATGAGTTCCATAATTTTGGTAATAATTGGGGTAGCCTTTGTAATCAAACTCATTCCCATTTATAAAGTGTGTGATATTTTTTTACTTTAAGTGAAATAAATATGGACTGTAAATAAACTTGCTTTTGTTTAGGGGCAATTTTATACCAAATATACGAAAAACTTAAAATTTATAGAGTTGGTAAGATTCTGGAAAAGAAGATTAAAAGGATTTGAAATTCTATTACTTTTATGAATGGGTTAACTGACACCCTTGAAAGGTTAATTATCATGTTGAAGAGGATATTTTTTTGGGGGGGTTGGGAGATCTGTTTTTAGTTTAAGCAGTATTGTTACTTTATCATATGGTTAAAAGAGATTCTCATATTTTTTAATGAGGTACTTTGTAACTTTATTTCTGTTCCCTTCCTAGATGTATATTATGTTAAATATTCGAATTGTGCTAGTTGGACTGGAGATTTGGACAAATGGAAACCTGATCAACATAATCGGTGGTGCTGGTGATGTGTTGGGGAACTTTGTGCAGTGGCGGGAAAAGTTTCTTATCACACGTAGGAGACATGACAGTGCACAACTAGTTTTGTAAGTGATTGAAAAAAGGACTTAATGAAATTGTCAGAAAAAAAATTTTTTACTTGTTTTCTTTTATTATAATCATATCCTCTTAAGGTCTTTGAGCCTTCATTTATTTATTTATTTATTTATTTATTTATTAATATATATTTATTTATTTATACAAACACTGGGTACAGTCAGAAGCACAGGAGGGTGAGAGAATTCACCAGAGCCAGAGCGGGGAGCAGAGCAGGCAGAAGGACCGAAGTACACTGCTGAGGGGAGCAGCGGGCAGCAGTAGAGGTCTGCGCGCCATGTGGGACCCTCCTCCGGTGGCCGGGGAGCAGCCGGGAATCGAACCGGCGCTGCAGAGGTTTGCAACCCAGCGCTCAACCACTGCGCCGCCGGGGAGGCCCTGAGCCTTCATTTAAATCAGGGAAACTTAGTTCAATACCACAGGACAAGTGACAGTGAGATAATAGGACCTCTCTTCTGTGTTGGATTCCCAGTCACCTTTACTCCATGCCTTCCTCTTCCATGACTTTGTCCTCTTCCTTGGGTTTACTCCTCATTTTGGTTTAGAATACTTTCTGTGCTTCAGAACTATGGTCAGTTTGCAAGTTTTAGCTTTTTCCTGCAGGGGAGGGAGAGGAGTCAGAAGAGGGGATGGAAGAGCACAAGGGGCTATGGTGATGGTTCATGGGTGCTATCGTGGTGGGAGACTTGGGGAAGCCACACCTGAGGGAAGAAATCAAATGTCCAAAAATGGACAAAGATGTAAGAAAATAAATCACTTTAATAAAAAATAATACTTTCTAGTTTCTTCATGTGAAAGTATATATGGAAAGAAAAAATTTTGACCTCTTACATATTGGGAAATGTTTTTTGCAGTCTCAGAATAGAATTTAAAAATTATCTATTTGACCTTTTATTGTCCCAGGACTCAAGTAACTCAGTCTTGCAGTTTGTTTTCTAAGTTCTTTTGGTTATTTGACTGGCTATAATATTCTAGGTATGAAATCTTAGAATTTTGAAGAACTGATTTTGTTGTCTTTTGACTTCCAGTTTTATTATTTGGAAGACTTAAACTCTTCTGATTCCAGATTCTTTGCATTTGTTGGATTTTTCTACATTCTCTGGGAGTTTGTAGGATTTTCTCTTGTTCTCATGCACTTTGGTTCTCATACAATTTTTTTGATATGTTTTTGGGTAGTTCTTTTTTAGCAGGTCTGGGGTTTTTCAAATATGACCTCGTTTTTAAAAAGTAATAAAGGCTTTCCTGGTGGTGTAGGCGGTTGAGCGCAGCACAGTGAAGCTGTCCCCAGCCTCTGCAGTGTGGGTTTGATTCTGGCCAGCCAGAGAGATACCCACATGGTGCAGCAGACCTCTCCTGTCTAGTCCGCTGCCCCTCTCAGCAGTGTATTTCAGTCAATGTGCCTGTTCTGTTACCCACTCTGTCTCTGGTGAATCCTCTTACCTGCACATCTGGCCTGTACCCCGGTTCTTATATGCATGAATAAATAAATCTTAAAAAAAAAAAGTAATAAAATGAGAATGTAATGTAGCTCATGGGGGCTGTTCTTCGTTGTTCTTAGTTGGTAATTTCTATCTTGAAACCGATGTCCTGCTGTTTTAGGAATTTTTCTCAAGTTATTTTGTAGATAATTTCACTCTTTATTTTTAGTCTATTTTTCTGGGATTCCTTTCATTTGAGTGTTGAGTTCTTGGGTTTGTTCTCTGATTTCATGTTTTTCATTTCCTTCTCTTTATCATTTTGTTCCCTTTTCTGGGATATTTTCTTTAATTTTTCTCCTAAAATTTTTGAGGTTTATTGAATTTTTTATTTCCACTACCTTGTTTTTAGTGCTTAATAGCCCTTTTCCCCCTTTAATATTTTTATATAATCAAGTTCTTATTGCAGGTATATAATAGTTTTTAAATACTTTTTGAGATAGTGCTGATGATGTGAAAATTTTACATTTTTTTCATTTCTGTCTATTATTTTTAGGCACCATAATAAAACTTTAGCTTACATAATCACTTAGTGCAAATACATTCTAAAAACTTACAAAAACCCTCAATTAAATATTTAAAAATTTCATTCATTAAAAATTTTCTGGGGCCTCCCCGGTGGCACATCCAGTTGAGCGCAGCGCTATGAAACTGTCCCCAGCCTCTGCAGTGCGGGTTTGATTCTAGCCGGCCAGGGAGATACCCACATGGCACAGTAGCGCTCTCCTGTCTCGCCTGCTGCTCCCCGCAGCAGTGGTTTTCAGGCGTCTGCGTGTTCTGCTCCCCACTCTGTCTTGGGTGAATTCTCTCACCCTCCTGTGCCTCTGGCCTGTACCCCTGTTCTTGTATAAATAAATAAATCTAAAAAAAAAAATTTCTGGCTGGATGGGCTGACTTAGTGCAAGAAAAGTTCTAAATTACGTAATTTTTTTGCTTCCCTCAATGTTGATGGTAACTAAAACTCACATCTTTTTTCCTCCTGAGGAGAAATTTCCCTTGATTTTGTTTTCTTTGCTTTGTTATGTGAGTTAATTTAAAGCAAGACACTTAAAATACCTAAATGAATTTTTGTGGCCCCATAATCAAAAAGGCTGATTTTTGACCTTTTTATTAATTTTTAGTAAAATTGTACCTGCCAGTATCTGCATAGCAGTCTGCATGCCATCTAGTTTATAAAAGATCAGAAGGAATAGACTTGGAACATATTTCCTATGCTTTGCCCAACCACGCCTACCAAGCTGCCTTTCCCTCTTATTTGTGGTCTCCATCTGTTATGTTGGAGGCATTTCCTACATGTCTTGTAACATTTGGCTGTGTTGTGGTTAAGAATGGGCATCTAAAGGCTTTTTGTAAATGCTGAGTTTATGGCTGTGGGATTTAGGGACTATTGGTTCATTACGGGGTTATCTGACTACAGCATGTTATAAATCTGGCCTTATCACATCTTCTTCTCCTTGCTGGTGAGATGTCCCAGAGGGATTTATTCATTCTTGTAAATATATTTATTAGGTATATATACTCTTGGTATTGAGGTATAGCAGTGAATAAAACTAACAAAAATTCTTGCTCTCATGCAATTCATATTCTGTGGAGAAGATTTGCCATAAATGAGATATGTGGGTCTATATAATATGTTAAATAATGATGAAGTGGTAAGGATTGAAAATAAAGCAGGGAGGGTAGATGGAAAGTTGGAGGAGTGAGGCTGAAATTTTGGGTCACATTGCAAGAGAAGCCTCAAATAGAAGATGGCTTTTGATTGAAGACTTGAAGGAGATGAGGGCATTCGTTGAGGTGCATATTGGGGAATTCAGTTCCAGGCAGAGGGAATAGTTCATGCCTGAGATACAAGCATGTGCAGAATAAGTGAACCATGTGCAGACTATTGTGCTTCCTATGCTTCCTGCCTGTAGCCTCAGACATGCCAAAGCATGTTGAATTGTTCCTGCCACTAAAATTTTTGAATCAATAAATGTCATGCATTTTAAGAAAACCTTTCCACCTACCTGAAAGTCAGGAAAAAGCTTGATTTGGTATCTAAAACATATCTTCATTATCTGAAAAATGAATTTGTAATACTGATCTTTCTTTGATAATTAAAAGGGAAAAGGCATATTTGTATTCTGATTTTATTTATTTTTATTAATTTTTTTTTTTGTTGAGTTAATGTTGGTTCAGAGCACTGTATGTTTCAGGAATATGGCATCACACCTCTGTATTCTGATTTTATAATGTTACTTATTTTGCCATCTCCCCCCCCAGTTTTTGTAAGTTCTACTGAGCCAAGTTTAAGATTACCCCAAGTAATCTAGGTAAAATGTGTTCCTTTTTTCCCCCAAGTGTATTTACTAACTTTTACCTTTTCTTTTCATTTAGGAAGAAAGGTTTTGGTGGGACTGCAGGAATGGCATTTGTGGGAACAGTGTGTTCAAGGAGCCACGCAGGCGGAATTAATGTGGTACGTTTTGTTCTTCAAGTTCAGCTTTGGATGTACCTTACGATAGTGTCTGCTATTTTCTAACTCTCTACTTCTTGCCCAAAGTCTTTATTTTTTTTTTTTAAATAATAAATTTTATTTTTATATTCCCCATACAATTGCAACCCCCCCATTCTGATCCCAATCCCTCCCCTCCTGCCCCCCACCCCCCAAAAGTGTCTCTGTTTCATAGTTTTTTGTTGATTCTGATTTTCACTTTCTTCTAGTTATTCATTTTCCTGGTCCCTTATTTAAGTTTTCTAGATTCCTGCTATGAGTGAGACCATCCGGTATTTTTCTTTTTCTTTTTGGCTTATTTCGCTGAGCATGATCCCTTCCAGCGCCATCCATGTTGCTGCAAATTGCATGTGTTTATCTTTTTTGAATGCTGAGTAATATTCCATGGTGTATATGTACCACATCTTCTTGATCCAGTCATCTATTTTTGGGCATTTGGGTTGTTTCCAAAGCTTAGCTATTGTAAACAGTGCTGCTATAAACATAGGGGTGCAGGTGTTCTTTGGAATTGATGTTTCTGTGTCCTTTGTTGCCCAAAGTCTTTAAAGCAATCTTTCGGGTATTTTGAAGGATATGGGAGAAGAGGCAAGTGTTCTCTTTCACTACAGACTGGACTGTCATTCTAATACTTATTAGCGCCTTACTTTTTATGAATGACAAAACAGATAACATTTGAGAAAGTTAAACTAGAACCATGAATTTGTCTTCCCATGAACCACCATGTATCATCTATTGGTGCTAAAGTAATGGTTTAAAGAGTCTATCTCCATTATCACTATGTTGGATCACTCTAGTTTCTTACTAGACTGAACTGTGTAAAGACTGTTGTTGGATGCTTCATTTGTAATGCAGGCTGTCACTTAACATCATAGTGACAAATTAACTTTTTTTTTTTTTTTGTGGGACCCTCACTGGCAGCCGGAGAATGAACCGGCACTGCAGAGTCTGTGGGCAGCTTTGCAGCCCAACGCTTAACGGCTGCCCCATCAGGGGAGGCCCGACAAATTACCTTTTGTGAAAAAATAATCTGAGAAACAAAACCATATCCTTGTGTCCAGAAACCTATTTACTCCTTTTCTTGTGTTGGCACAGTTTGGGCAAATTACAGTGGAGATATTCGCATCCATTGTTGCTCATGAGTTGGGCCATAACCTTGGAATGAATCATGATGATGGCAGAGATTGTTTTTGTGGTGCAAAGAGCTGTATCATGAATTCAGGAGCATCGTGAGTAATTCAATTCTTTCTTCCTAACATGGTACTGTAGATGAATTTTTTTAAAGTCTCTGCAGTATACTCATGTCTATGTTGCAAAAACAGGAAAAATTATAGTGCTACCTGTAATTAATTACATGTTACCCCAACCAGAAATCTATTTTTTAATTAAATAAATTATTCCAAGAAACCTGTAGAGGCAGGTATGTAACTACGTTATCTATAAACCAATTGATGGACCCAAAGAATATAAAACCATAGAAAAATTTGCATCTCAATTAGTAATTAGGGAAGAGTTTCTGGTAGATTCAGTGCAGTTTGGATTAGCTTGAAGGACTATATAGCATTTACTCACAAATAAACCCTGTGAGAAAGTGCTGCACTGGCACTGTAAAGTAGAAGAAATCCTGATATATATATCCTATTAACATTCCCTACTTTATAGATAAAGCTGAGAGAAAAGATAAAGAGGAAAAAGAATTGACTTTCAACTGTGTATCAGGCACTGTTTTTAGCACTTAAAAGATATTAATTTACTTAATGCTCAATAATCTGATCAGGTATCTTTATACTTCTGTTTAAAATGAGGAAATTGAGGTCACACATATCTAAGTAAATGGTAAAAATGGGATTTGAAATCAGGAAGTCTGAGTCCAGAGTCTATGATCTTAGATTCCCTCTTTGCCAGGGTTCAAAAATAATTATAATAGAAGGTCTAAGGGTGAACATAAACTGTTGAGTTACCTCTTTTTTATTTAGATAGGTTTCAAGGAACCTGGGTTCGTTCTTAATTTGGAAGGCAGTAGTGCTAAACAGAGAGGTGGGCATTGTCACAGGCATCTGTGGAGAAGAAGCTGAGCCAGAGAGAAAATTAGATATGAAAGATAGTTATCTTTAACCAACACTGAAGAAGATTTCATTAGGGGAATATCTGTGGCCCCAAGTGTTTTCTCCCTTTCCTCCTCCCTCAAACTCCTGGAGCACTGAAAAGTGAAAAAAAAGAAAACAACCCAAACTGTTAGCCACTCTTTTATCTTCGGATCTCAGAGTACAATTCTAATCATATTCTGGCTTAAAGAGAAGCTCTCAAGAAGAATTTAAACTCTGATTTTGAGTCAATAACTATGCTCAAAAGTAGATATGAACGAATCAGAACAATGCTTATGAGAGAACTCTACTAATTAAGAAAAAAGTAATTGCATTCATAGGAAGTTATATGTTTGTAAAAGATTTCCTGTAGGAGAGGAAAGTAAACTTAGTGTTTGCTTTGGCTGGGAGTGAAGTTGAGAAAGAGATGAATTCAGGGAATAGGAAATGAATAATCAACAATGAGATAAGACAATAGGATAAGAAAGGAGAACTCAAGAGTTAAGGAATGTTAAGAAAATGCTATTGTGGAATTTTATTTTTGATCGGGCTATTTGTATTTTGTTGTTGAATTATATGAGTTCTTTATATATTTTGGATATTAATCCCTTATTGGACATGTGATATACAAATATTTTCTCCCATTCAGTAGGATATCTTTTGGTTTTGATGATTGTTTCTTTCTCTATAGAAGCCTTTTAGTTTCATGTAGTTTGTTGTTTGTTTTTGCTTTCATTGCTCTTGGATTTGAGTCTCTGAAGTTATCTCTAAGGCCAATATCATGGAGCACATCACCTGCATTTTCTTCTCTGTATTTTATAGTTTTAGGTATAATCCATGTTTAATTAATGTTTGTGTTAGATTGTAGTCTAGTATCTTTCTTTTGCTGGTGGCTATCTAGTTTTACTAATGCCATTTGCTGAAGAGACATTCCTTCCTCCATAAATTAGTTGTCCATATACTTGTGGGTTTATTTCTAGACTCTATCCTTTTCTCTTTGATTTCTGTGTCTATTTTATTCCAATATAAGGCTGTTTTGATAAATATTGGTTTGTAGCATAGTTTGAATTTGGGGAGTGTGATACTTTCTTTTTTTTTTTTTTTTGGTACTATTCAGGGTCTTTTGTAGTTACAAATAAATTTCATGGCTTTTTTTTTGGGTTATATTTCTGTGAAGAATGCCATGGGAATTTTTATAGGGATTGCACTGAATCTGTATATTGCTTAAGGTAAGAAAATGACCATTTTGACAATGTTGATTCTTCTGATCATTGAGCATAAAATTCTTTCCATTCTGGCCATTTCTTTGTGTTTTAATTTTTTGGTTTTCTATTTATTTCATCAGTTTCTTATATTTTCAGTGCATTTCACTTTTTAGTTTCAGTTAAATTTATTTTAGATGTTTAATTCTTTATGATATTATTACTAATGGGATTTATACATGAGATTATTTTCCTGATTTCTTTGCTGGTTAATTATTTGCATTCAGAAATATAACATAATTTTGTGTATTGGTTTGTGATCTGCTACTTTTTACTATTTCTAATAGCTCTTGAGTTTTTGAAATTTTTTTGTCTATATTGTGTTATCTGCATAGTTTGAATTTGGGGAGTGTGATACTTTCATTTATTTTTTTTAGCCAGGACTTCTGTATTGAACAATATGAAAGTAGATATTTTTTACTTTTTCCTGTTATAATTGTTATAACTCCTCTTTTGTTTCTGATTTTATGTTTGTGTTTGTTTCTCTTCTTTAAGCTGCCTAATGCTTTGTCCATTTTATTTATTTTTTTTTTCAAGGAACCAATTGAACTTTTAAAGAGTTTTCTTTTTAATTTTATTTTATTAGTATTCTAATGAAGTTAAAATTTTTCACTTGATGATATAATTGACCTTTATTATGGTGAGGTAGGTTCTTTTTATACACAGTTTGTTGAGGTCTTTTTTAAAATTGTAATTGATGTTGAGTCTTGTTAGATGCTTTTTCTGCATCTATTAAAATGATCACAGATTTCTGTCCTGCCTTTTGTTGATATGGGTATATCACACACTTATTGATTTGCATATGTTGAACCATCCTTGCATCCCTGAAATAAAACCCGCTTGATGTTGTAATGTACAGTTGAGTTCACTTTGCTAGTACTTTGTTGAGAATTTATATCTTTTTTCGTCAGAAATAATGGTGTATAGTTTGTATGTGTGTGTTTCTGTGATGTCTTCTCTGGTTTTAGAGTTAGGGCAGTGTTGGCTTCATAAGATGTATTTGGAAGTTTTCCCTTTTCGATTTTTTTGACGAATTTGAGGTTAAATATTAATTCTTTGAAAGTTTAGTAGAATTTACTAGTGAGGCCATCTTATCTTGGAATTTTATTTTTTGGGAGATCCTCATGTTGTGCTTGTTCAGATTTTCTATTTTTTTCTTGATTCAATTTATTAATGTTGTGTTTTTCTAAGAAATGTCCATTTCTTCTTAGATTGTCCAATTTGTTGTCATATAGGCATGCATAATATTCTTTTATGATCTTTTGTATTTCTGTAATATCTGTTATAACTTCTCTTTTGTTTCTGTTTTTGTGTTTGTTTTCTTTGAGTCTGCCTAATAGTTTGTCTATTTTGTTTATTTTTTTTTTCAAAGAACCAATTGAACTTTTAAAAAGAATTTTCTGTTTAATTTAATTTTAGTATCCTAATAAAGTTAAAATTTTTATGTGGATATACATTTCAATAAAGGATAGCCTGACTATTCTCTCTAACTCTGTTTCATTATTTTTCAAATTGTCTATTGAATCTCTCTTTTGTTTACTTCTGCTCTAGTATTTATTATTTTCTTTCTTCTACTGATTTTGGATTTTCCCCTTCTTTTTCTAGTTCCTTTAGGGTAGGTTTAGATTTTTTTAATTTGTGATTTTTCTTATTTCCTGAGGTAGATCTGTATAGCTTTTGCTTTATCCTTTAATGTCTGATAGTTTGTGTTTTCATACTCATTTGTCTCTGGGTATTTTTTTATTTCACCTTTGATTTCCTCATTTACCAATAGTTGTTCAGTAGCATGTTGCTTAGTGTAGTGCCAGGAAGGCAAAGAGCTGGTTTTCTATGATTGGAGCAGAAGGGTAAAGTAGAGTCCTGGAACCCTCAGTGGCTTTTTCAGGCTTTTATTGAGCTTTTACATGTAGTGCAGCAACCAGGTACATGGCAGGCAGGGGTGCCAGGGGGCCAGAGGCCAGTAGGCCTCTTAGCCCCTGGTGAATCTTCATTCTTTACTGGGCTCTCTGGCATTCTCTCTTTTTGGCTGTGGACTCCACCATAAGCCATGTACCCACCCATTCCCCCAAGGATGGGTTTTTCAGCTCCTCACCCCTACTTGAAAATGAACAGGGCATCATCCCCAGGTGATTTTAAGAGACTCACTGGCCTTCTTTAACATACTTAGGCTGCTTAATAGCCACTCAGGGCTTCCCAATCTCAGCACCAGCTTTTAGCTTTTGCCTTTCTAAGTTGGCTTTTTGATACATCTCGTCTGCCTCGCTGCAGAGAACTTGGTGAGGGCTTCCTCCCTCAGCCTCTTGGGCTCTTCTCATGCCTGCCCCTTCCTCTACTCTGGCCATTGCCTCTCCGGGCTGTGGCCCTTGGAATGTTGGGCAGTACACAGGCTGCTTTTGGCCACTGAGGCCCACTGGCCACCCCCAGATTCCCATCTCCTATAGTGTACAAACAATTCCATCCTCCCCCAGGGTCCCCAAAATATAACATTAACCTGCCAAAGTTCCTCAGCCTCTGGCAGGATTGTCAGTCCAAGTCTATCCATTGGTCCTTGTGTCAGCATTGGCGAGTTCCAAATTGTGGTCCTTTCTTCCCCGATGATTCTGCTGCCTCAGGGGTCGTGGGCTGGTCCTTGTGGGCCATCTCCTCCTCCACTCAAGGTCTCATCCCGCAGTTCCCGGACCTTGTCTACCTCCTGTGCTCCTGCAGCATCTTTAGCTCTTCCTGCAGTTTCTGGACTTTGGTCATCTCCTGTGCTGCCATGGCACATCCAGCGTTGTCACAGGCTCACGGTCTGCTACTCCTCAATGCCTCCTGAGGTCTTCAGAGGGCTCCAGGACTCTCCTTTACCTGTCTGCTCCAATCATGGAAAACCAGCTCTGTGCCTTCCTGGCACTACACTTAGTCTTAGAAAACCATATTAATGGTTTTCCCCTTTCTTCTTTTGACTGAGTGCTAATGTCATAACAACTGAATAGATGTTTGAAATGATTATAGTCTTTAAAAACTTATTGAGACTTGTTTTGTTTCCCAACACATGGCCTTTCCTTAAAAATGTTCCAGTGCATTTGAGAAGAATGTTTTTTGTTGTCTTTGTGTGGGATGCTCTGTAAATATCAAGGTAGACTTATTTCAATACCCAAGAACCAATACCCAGAACTATTTACTTCCTTGGAGACTTTGGACTAGTTAACAGAGAGAAATAGAAAATGTATCGGTGTAGGTTCTCACAGAGAGGATTTTTTCTTAGATTCCTTGAATGACTGAAAGACTCACTTAGTTATCTTCCTTAATGACTATAATGCAACAGATTTTTAGCTTCACTCCTACTCAGTACTGTTGCTTAAACTGATGAAAAAGGGATTCTTGCAGAGCATCAGATTATGCAGATAAAATTTTAATGTGAGTCTGGTTTTCTTAGATTCTTGCAGTATATATGAATTTGTTTGCTACTTGTCTTCAAAAATTAGTCATTAATGAGATTATCTGAGAATAGTTATAGTTATTGAATAAACTAAATTGTTCAATAATTGTTAATTAAACAAAATTTTAAATAATTGTTAAATAAACAAAAAATTGGTCAGTTATATGTAACCTGAGGCTATATTCTCAGTCTTTTCTATAAGTTCTTTTTCTTTACCCAACCATAACTGGTAGATGACGTCACATCTTAGAATTAATATGCTGTACATCAGGGACTTTCGTTAATTGGTTTATATGGTATGCTGCTTACTATAACCCTATGTCTGTTATAGTTATTGAGGAAAACAATAATTAAAAAAATACAACATGTAGGACACACCAAAACTGAATTTGTGTGATTTTTACCTAGACATCATGTAGAAGACCATCTAGCCTTCAAAATATTGAACATATTTCTCAGGAATTATCATAAAAGGCTTTTAAAACTTAAAGTTGAGCTGAAATTTGATACTGTGCATTCTGCTTCCTGATGGCTATATGCTTCCTCACTAGAATAGCCCATTCACCTTGTTTTCATGTAGCTTCTAATAAGTGATTGTGAGAAGAACATAAAATATTAACCTACATTGTACAAAATGATTGGGGAAACATAACTAGTTTCAAATACTCGAAAGATTTTTACTATGGAAAGTACATGAAACTTAATTCTAAATAGACCTAGATGATTTCTAAGGTCTCCTCTGACAGATGAACTCTATGATTTTGTATTTCAAATGTAAGTGATATGTTTGGAAGATACTTTCATAGAAGTAATATATTGTAAATAGTGAGTAATTATGCAGCTAACTGAAATAATGTTTTCTATTTATTAGAAATGGTTATTTATTCTCATTTCTTTTTTTGTTAGCTTATTTTCTGTCATTTGAAATATTTAAAATATTATATATACATATACTCATGAAGACATGATTTAAAAATTTTAAAGTAAATAATAACTATGACTTAATATCTTTTCTTATTCTTTATTATAGAGGTTCTAGAAACTTTAGTAATTGCAGTGCAGAGGACTTTGAGAAGTTAACTTTAAATAAAGGAGGAAACTGCCTTCTTAATATTCCAAAGCCTGATGAGGCTTATAGTGCTCCTTTCTGTGGTAATAAATTGGTGGATCCTGGAGAAGAGTGTGACTGTGGGACTCCAAAGGTCAGTTTAATTTTCAATTTTTGTTTTGTGAAAATAATCTTGGAATTTTCAAAAAGTAAATAGTTTGCCTTGGGAACTCTGGCATGGCAGCTAAAGTAAAATTTAGTGGCAAATGAGGGTTGGTATTTTGTCTGTGGGGATATGTACCTGGGATTGGTCATCTTCTTCCCAGAACATAACTGATGGTGTCATCTGTTTTGGTGCCCATGTTTATTCTTCTATGTTTTGCTACCTTCCACCACTTTTGATATGATTATTAGATCATATATTTACTTTAATGAAGAAACCAATTTTTTCACTTAACTTTTTACTTTAATGCTTTCCCTATTTTGCCACTGCCTTTGCAGAAATAAATATTCTTACTAATTTTAGTAATAACAAGTTGAACCTGGTCTATTCTTCAGCATGCTTAATAAAAACAGTATTTTTTTAACCAGTTTTACTCAGCGCCAATCAGTGAAATTCTTATCACTCACAGTAGCATTCTTTCCTTTTACCCTTCAGTTTACCTGCTATCTCCAGCTTTTTCAGACCTGTTGTCCATATTTATTATCATAAGCCCATCCAAATCTTTATGACTATTGCTGTGTATCATAGCCATTCCTGTCTCAAATTGGCCCATTGAAGTCCTTTCTGCTGAGGCACTGCATTAACTTAAAATAAAACAAAAATTGTTCAGTTGTTTGTAACCTGAGGTTATATTCTCAGTCTTTTCCATAAGTTCTTCACCCAACCACAGCTGGCTTTTGCAGATGACGTCACATTTTAGAATTAATATGAAGTACATCAGGGACTTCTGTTAATTGTTTTACATGGTGTACTCCTTACAATAACCCTAAGAGATTAATTAGGCCCAACAAAGTTAATTTCTAAATTAACATTATACTGTTATGTTGACCAAGTCTTTCTTTCCAGGCCTTTTCAGATCTTTCTCTTAAAATATTTTGTTTTGCCTTGTTCTGTTAGCTTTACTATTATATTTATTGAGATAGACTGTAATTGCTACTTCATACTGCTAACTTACTCTTTAAAGATCTCCTCAAATATCACTAGTTTTGCTTGGTAAGAAAGTTTCAGTAAGTAAAGACGAAATTCCCCTTTATACTTTTATTTCCTCTCTTCCCCTTCTGCAGTGGTAATCGTATGTAAGTTCAGTGCATTTGTTTTAGACTTTGTGGTGTATATTTATATACATATATAGTGTATGTACATTTGTAAATAGTAGGGTTTGTTTTAGGGTCTTTTCCTCTATATAAATGAAACCAGACTCAGTATGTTGTATGCAGAATTTTTTTTCTATTTAATTTTTCTTGCAAACTTTTCCATGATGCTATGTTATTGCATTATATAGACATACATCTTTGAATTTCCTCATTAGTATTCCAATATAAGGATGTAGTATGATTTATTTAATCATACTCATTAATTAATGGGCATTTACTTATTATAATTAATATTTATCTTGCAAACAGTGCTGCAATGTACATCTTTATACATGCCCCATGTGTTTATATACAATTATTTCTCTACAATATTCACATAAGAATAGAACTATTGAAAGTATGTGTGTTTTTAATTTTATTAGAGGCTATCAGGTTTTCTATAAAATGGCTGTGTCAGCTTGCACTTTTACTGACATTCAGTGCCTGCATAGTCTTGCCAACACAGAATAATAAATATCTTAAATTTTTTTTTAAAGATTTATTTATTTATTTATTTATACAAGCACTGGGTACAGTCAGAAGCATGGGAGGGTGGGAGAATTCACCAGAGCCAGAGCGGGGAACAGAACAGGCAGACTGACAAAATACACTGCTGAGGGGAGCAGCGGGCGTGGCAGGAGAGGTCTGTCACGCCATGTGGGACCCTCGCTGGTGGCGGGGATCGAACTGGGGCTGCAGAGGCTGCAGGCAGCTTCGCAACCCAGTGCTCAACTGCTGGGCCACCAGGGGAGGCCCAATATCTTAATTTTGAATGAACAAAAGGAAGATATTGTTTTAGTGTGTACCTTTTCATATGCTTATAGACTGTATGCATTAAGTTTTGTATATGAATACTCCTTTATATCCCTTGTCAGTTTTTCTGTTGAGACTTCTTTTAGGTTGATTTTAGTAACTTATATGTTGTGGGCAAAGTCCTTTGCTATATATGTTCTAATTTTTTCTTCTTTATTTGTACATTATCATTTAGCTTTTAAAAAAAATCAATGAACTTTACTTTTTAGAGTAGTTTTAGGGCAACGTTGAATGGAAAATACTGAGAGTTCCTTACATTGACTTCCCCTCCCAGCTCCCTGCTCTCTCTTACTGTCTACCTCCTCCAGCACAGTGTTACATTTGTTATAAATGATGACCACACTGGCACATCATTATCACCCAAAGTTTGTAGTTTATATTATGGCTCTCTCTTGGCATGTAGCTTTTTATATCATATATTTCATTATACTGGGATTAAAAATTTAAATGAAGGTAAGTTATCAATTTCTTTCCTAAGCTTTCTGATCTTTGCTGCCTCATGCTCAATACTTACTTTAGGTTACAAAGCCCTCCTATAATTTCTTCTAACATTAAAAAATTTTACAATGTTAATATTAGCTTTAAAATTGGTGGTAAGCTTTGGAAACAACCCAAATGCCCAAAAATAGATGACTGGATCAAGAAGATGTGGTACATATATACCATGGAATATTACTCAGCATTCAAAAAAGATAAACACATGCAATTTGCAGCAACATGGATGGCACTGGAAGGGATCATGCTCAGCGAAATAAGCCAAAAAGAAAAAGAAAAATACCGGATGGTCTCACTCATAGCAGGAATCTAGAAAACTTAAATAAGGGACCAGGAAAATGAATATAAGAAAGTGAAAATCAAAATCAACAAAAAACTATGAACCAGAGACACTTTTTGGGGGGTGGGGGGCGGGAGGGGAAGGATTGGGGTCAGAATGGGGCGTTTGCAATTGTATGGGGGAATATAAAAATAAAATTTAATATTTAAAAAAAAAATAAAATAAAATAAAATTGGTGGTGGGGGGGAGTCATGTGGAGTAAGCCATGGAATTAACTGTTTTTAAGTGGTTGCAACACCATTAAAGTGGGCCTTTTATCATAATATAAGTCCTGTATAGTCTACTTCCTGATTCTCTATTCTTTGAAGAAGCCATCTGTCTGTCTTGCACAGTGTTTTTGAAAAAAACAAAATAAAACAAAAACAACAGGCTTATTAAAGTATAACTGAATACACTGTCAAAGAATTGGATTTAGATAAGGAAAAATTTTACCCAGAACGACTATTGTAATAGGGAGAACACTCTGACCTCAGAAATCTGGAAGTGTCTCAAAGTTAAACAGACCAAGGTTTTCTTTTCTAAGATAAAGATGAGGGCAAGTAGAGATATGCAGAATCTTTTAAGGAGAAGCCAGAAAGGAAGGGAAAATTACCAGTGAAGTCTTATTAAAAAGAAGAAAATGCCCTTGTGGTCAGCTGATTTTAGGTCAGTTGCTGAGGCGGGAGCAGATTCCACTTGTTTTTTTTTTTTTTGGTGGGGACAAGCAGAATTCGTGGGCTTGTAGGAAAGAGAGAAGTCTTACTAATATTTGGTGAAGACAAAGAAAAAGGTTAAAAAGGGCAATTGTGAGCATTTGTTGAGCGATACATTACACATATTTGAAGCATATAAGTTGCAGTAACATTGATTTACATTTGTTTTAGAGGTATACAATCCCCCCCTTCAGGTGTTACCACACTACACCCACCACCAAGGCACCCAGTCTTTGGGACCCATTATTCTTGCATTACCTTTCCTCATGGAGTCAAATAGTTGAAGAGTTTATTCATTCTTTATTCCTTTGTATCTCTCTTTGTTCTCCCACCTGAATTCCTTGTGCATTTATCATCTTCAAGGGCACTGATTCAGTCTTCCATTAGAGCAATTTTACTTCCAAAAGGTTTTCTCCAGAATTTTTTTATCTCTTCTATTGATCTTTTTTATATCCTGCATCACTTTTATTTTCTTATTTAAAGCTTCAATTTCAATCTTATCTTTGTTAATTTTACTTCCCAGTGCAGTCATTTATTTTTTTGAATTTTCTTGTATATCTTTGACCACCTTTTCTGTTTTCATCCATTTCTTTGACTTTCTTTGTCATGGCAATTTTGAGTTCTGCATATGATAGGAAGAAAAGCTCTTCCATGTCTTTGTGGTAGGGTTCTGGATATTTGTTCTTCGTGCTGTAGCATTCCCTTGAGGACTCAGGTTGTCTTCTGTTCTATTTTTATTTGCTCATTATTTATTTCCTTTCTGGATATTAGGGGTGCAGAGCTTCCACTTTTCCAGTAGATGGCACTGTATGTCAGGGAAAACCATTAGGTAGCTGGGTGTTCAGTGAGTTGCGGGAGGGTCCTGCAGAAGGATCTGTCACTTGTGAGAGTGCTGTGGGTAGGATTTGCTTGGCCTGTGTCAGTGCTGCTAGCTATGTTCTTCATGACCCTTGTTAATCCCTTTATGTGGACTACACTTGGGGGGAGAAATCAAATATACAAAAATGAACAACAATGTAAGAAAAATAAAAAGTTTAATCAATAAAAATAAAATAAACATAGAAAGTAGGTATCTCTCTGGGTGGTAGTTTAGGAGGGGGCATGGTGGCTTTAAGTGGAGTTAGAGAAGCCAAGCAAGAGAAAAAGTCCATATAAGGTAAAGAACCGCCCAACAGAGCAATTAGACCCTGAGCATAAAGAGAAATGCATTCATGGATTATTTATGATTCCCTGTGATCATTAAACAAACTGTCGTGGCCTGAATGAATGTTTGTGTGTCCCCCAAATCCATACATTGAAGTCTCAACCCCCAGTGTGACCATATTTGAAGATGAGGCCTTTAGGGAAGTAATTAAGTTAGGTCACAAGGGTCAGGCTCTGATTTGATAGAATTAGAGTCCTTCTAAAAAGAGATACCAGAGAGCTCTTCCTGAACACACTTACTGAAGATAGGTCCTGCAAGCACACAGGGAAAATGCAGCCAGCATCCTCTGCAAGTCAGGAAAACTGTCCTGGCCAGAAGCTGAATTGGCTAGAACTTTGTCTTCAGATTTCTAGTTTCCAGAAATGTGAGATAATAAATTTCTGTTGTTTAAGCCACTAGTCTGTGTACCTTACTCTGGCATTCCCAGCAGACTAAGATACATACTCTGTGGTATCAGTCTTTTGAAATACGTTTATACCTGAATAGTTGTGGCTAAAGAGTCAATGATAAGGGCCTCCTTGGTGGTGCAGGGATTAAAGCCTCAGTGCTGTCAAGCTATGCCCAATCACCTCAGCCAGGGAGCTAACCCACATGGCATAGCAGACCTCTCGTGTCATCCACTGCTCCCCTCACCAGTGTATTTCATTAGATCTGCCTGTTTTGCTCCCCACTCTGTCTCTGGTGTATCCTCTCACCCCCTGTAACTCTGACCTACATCCCAGTTCTTGTATGCATTAATAAATAAAATAAATCTTTAAAAAAAAAAAACAAGTCAATGATGAGTACTGAAGGCTAGTAACTGTTTCCAGAGAATAATTGCTATAGTCATACTAGAAAGTAGATTTTAGGGCTAAGATAAGAATTTTATCAATGAATACTGATGACAGTAGGATCCATTTTTTTTTTTTTATTGATAGTCATTTTCTCTTCACAGGAATGTGAATTAGACCCTTGTTGTGAAGGAAGTACTTGTAAGCTCAAATCATCTGCTGAATGTGCATATGGTGACTGTTGTAAAGACTGTCGGGTAAGGATGTCGGTTCTATTTGGAAATAAAAATTAAAAAATGCATAATAAAAATTTGTTATCTCAGTCTGTAAGAGAACCCTATCTTTTACTTGATAATATGAAAAATTTTGTTACTTTTTTTGAAGTTTTGAATCACATATGTGATTCCTTTATGACAAATGGTCTAGTGAGATTTTTTTTCTAAGTATAAATTTTTTTCCTTGACTTTAAGAGTAATTTACATTTAAACTTAATTCAGCAATACCAACATATAGAAACCAGACAGTGAAAGACTATAATTTTACCCTTTTCAGGGAGTCATTGCTGATGAATTGTTACTAACTTAATAATTTTTTTCTTACACAAATGGGAGTGTATGTGTGCAAGTAGGTAAACAGATACACATTTTACTACCTGTTTTTTTTTTTTTTTTTTAAAGATTTATTTATTTATTTATATAAGCACTGGATACAGTCAGAAGCGCAGGAGGGTGAGAGAATTCACCAGAGCCAGAGCAGGGAACAGAACAGGCAGATGGACTGAAATACACTGCTGAGGGGAGCAGCGGGTGGCAGGAGAGGGCTGCTCACCATGTGGGACCCTTGCTGGGGGCCGGGGATCCAACGGGCACGGCAGAGGCTGCTGGCAGCTTTGCAGCCCAGTGCTCAACCGCCACGTCCCCAGGGGAGGCCCACTACCTGTTTTTTTTTTAAACTGGATACCATGGGCTTTCTTGTGTTTATGTAGTTCTGCATGGTTATACAGTCAGTACTCTTTTATATGGCTATACCATAATTTATTTCGTCAACTAGTGATAGACATTTAGATTGTTTGCACATTTGGGAACAATAAATGAAACTGTTGGGCAGAATATGTATATTCAAAGTTGTGACACCTATTTTATATACTATCTACAAATGTTACAGTGTATACTTATAATGAGGTGTAATCAAATGCTTATTTTCTAATGCTAGCATTGGTTGCTATTAAGTGGGATTACCTTGCTTAGTTTGTTAAGGTAAAGTGCTGTTATATTTTTATTTAATTTGTATGTCTTCTGGTTATTAATGAGGTTTTTTTCCCAATTTATTTTGGAATAAATTGGAATTGCCTATTATTGACCTTTGTTCATTTTTCAATCTTCTACTTTTAGCATTTATATATATTTATAAATGCTGTTAGCATTTAATTTATATATACTTATATATAAATATATGTATATATTTTATACATATACATAATATGTATATATAAATATATAAATACTATGGTTTCAAGTTGGATTAATTTGTGGAAATTGCCCTGATATACCTGCTTAATTAGAATCTACTACTCTAGTTTCTTCCAGGTGGTACTTTATGCCGAGGAAAAACGAATGAATGTGATGTTCCAGAATATTGCAATGGTTCTTCTCAGTTCTGTCAGCCAGATGTTTTTATTCAGAATGGATATCCTTGCCAGAATAACAAAGCCTATTGTTACAATGGCATGTGCCAATATTATGATGCTCAATGTCAAGTCATCTTTGGTTCAAGTAAGATTTTTTTTATTTATACTTGATTGCTTTTATTTATCTTTTTTTGCTTTAGTTTTTCTTTAAAATGAAGAACTTTAATAAACTCAAACTTTGATAAAATCAAAAGTTTTCTGTTTGTTCTCTTATATGTCTATTTCTTTTTTCACTGGTAACCATCATCATAAAATTTGATATGTCAAATTCAGTTGATGAATTTTCCTGCTACTCTCTCTTTATTATAACCCCTCTATCCTATGTATATAAACTATATATATGCTAATGTGATATCATATTCTAGTTTTAATAAATTCACATAAATAACATGGGGATAGTCATACAGATATGCTATTTTATTGTTCACTCAGTGTTTTTGAGACCATATAAATATATTTAGGGTTTCTTTTTTTCCCCTCTTTTTAAGTTTTTATTTTCATCAGTGTTATATATACATGTCATCAAATTACTTATACAGTTAAACAAAAAATAAAGCATATTCCCTCCTGAGGTCTCCTCCTTGAGGCAGCAACTTTTACCTTTTCTAGCTTATTATTTTGTTAATTCCTCCCAGTGTTTAGATTACTCTTGGTAACTGTTTTTGATTTTTCCATTCTTATTCCCCACTAATTTCTCACTATGGAAGATGAAAATGTAGTTTATTTCTCTCAACCCATTTCAGTTCCCATCATACTCATTTTCCGTTCTCTAGCCTCTTAATATGGATTAATTGTACTTTCACAGTAGTGTTGACTGTTGAGTTGATAAACTGTGATTTATTATGAGAAATATAAGTCAGTTCCTGGCAAAGAATTCCTAGAATGCTTGGAATTTCCTAAGGATAAGAGCTATAAAAGTGTCTTTGTTAAGAAAATGAGGCAACCTTTGGCAAACCCCAAGATTACTTAGAGTTAGAATCTGGTTATTTGAAGAACCAGCAATATTTGATTATAGGTTTGGTGTTTTCAACCTCCAGGGAGGGGAAAGGGCCTGGACATCCAGCAGATTACTAATGACTGAATGACTTAATCATGCCTGTCTAATGAAGTGCCCATAAAAGCCCAAAGGACAGGGTATGGAAAGCTTGTGTTCTGGTGAACAAGTAGAGATGCAGGGAGAGTACTGTGCTTAGACAAGGCATGAAGCTCTGAAATATTTCCCTATACTTTGTCCTGTGCATCTCTTCCACTTCACTGTTACTGAATTATACCCTTTTGTAATAAACAGGTAATCTAGGTAATCTAGTAGTGAAATGTTTCTAGGAGTTGCTGTAACAAATTAATGGAACCCAAGGTGGGGATTGTAGTAACCTCTGATCCATAGCCTGTTGGTCAGAAGTACAGGTGATCATTTGGACTTGTGAGTGGCACCTGAAGTGAAGGACTGGGGAGGGAAGAGACAGGAAAGTATGCAGTCTCAAGGTGAGACCTAGTGTTAATCTGTAAGATCTGACACTGTCTTCGTAAAGGTAGTGTCAGACTTGAAGAGAATTGTAGGATACATACCTGGTGTTGGAAAACTGCTTAGTGGTGTGGAAAAAACACATTGCAGATCTGTGTATTTTATTTAGTCATGTTAATGCTATTCACAACTGAGTTATGTAGTAATTTGCAACTCCGTTCTTGCTTTTTGTTTCTGTGAAGACCTCCCTCCCCTCTTGGTTAGTTTTCTATGTTGTTAGCAGTCACTGAACTGTAAAGTATTCAATACTGTCCTGGCCTTGCCTTGCAGTGACTAAAGGCATAAGTTAAGATTGCTAATTTCAACCTGCCTGAAATAGTAGGAGGTCCCTGATTCTCTTGAAAACACACACACACACACACACACACACACACACACACATATATAATGTCCAAAAGAAGAAAATACTAAGGTCACAGTACCAATTAAAATGATATAACTATCCTGTGTGGTTGTTTCAATTAGTTTTTCCATGAAATCTTGAGGGTTCTCTGTATATTATCATGTCATCTGAAAATAATAGGTTTACTTCTTTCCCAATTTAGATTTCACTTCTATCCTTTTCTTACCTAATTTCTGTAGCTAGGACTTCCAATAATATGTTGAATCATAGCGGTGAAAGGTGACATTCTTGTCTTGTACCAGATTTAGTGGAAAAACTTTCAGTGTTTCACCATTAAGAAAGATATTAACTGTGGGTTTGTTATATATGACCTTTATTATGTTGCGATATGTTCCATTTATCCCCATTTTTTTGAGAGTTTTCATCATAAATGGATGTTGAATTTCATCAAATGCTTTCTCATTATTTATTGATAGGATCATATGGTCTTTTATTTTTCCTTTTATTGATATTGTGAATTATGTTGATTGATTTTTGGATGTTGAACCATCCCTGTGTCCCTGGTATGAATCTCACTTGTTCATGATATATAATCCTTTTAATGCATTGTTAGCTTCAGTTTACTAAGATTTTGTTGAGGATTTTTGCATCTTTATCCATTAGGGAGATTGGTCTGTAGGTTTCTTTTTTGTGTGTTTCTTTGTTCAGTTTTGGTTTTAGAATAATGCTGGCCTAATGAAATGTGTTTAGAAATATTCTGTCTTTCTCAATTTTTGAAAGAGTTTGAAAAGGAGAACTAGCTACTAGCTCATTTTTGACGGTTTGGTAGAAGTCACTTGTGATGTCATCTGCTCCTGAACTTCTTGTTTTTTTTCCCAGAGAGTTTTGATTACTGTTTCAATTTCTTTGTTTGTGATTGGTCTATCCAGGTTTTCTATTTATTTTCCTACTCAATCTCAGATGATTGTGTAATTCTAAGGATTTGTTTATCTCTTCTCTGTTATTAAACTTATTAGCATATGAATGTTCATATAATCTATCCTCTGAGTTTCCACAGTGGCTGCTGTAACTTCTCTTTTGTTTCTGATGCTATTTATTTGAGTTTTCACCCTCTTTTTCTTAGTGAGCCCAGCTAGAGTTTTGTCTATTTTATTTTTTCCCCCAAAGAACTAGCTTTTGCTTTCCTTTATCTTTTGGATCATCTTTTTATTTCTATTTCATTTATTTCTACCCTTGTTTTTAATATTTCCATTCCAATACTGGCTTTGGTTTTGTTTGCTTTTCTTTTTCTAGTTCCTTGATATAAGATAAGGTTTAAGCTCTTTCTTATTTCTTGATGTGGATCTATGTGCAGATTTTCTGTATTCATTTTCATATGATTGTTCCTCTGTCTCTTTTTTGCTCCAACTCCTTTCGACTTCTATCCATTTTCTTGTAAACCAAATAACATAGTACCTGATGTGAAAACTAGGCGAGTGAATTTCCCTTATTAGAAAGTACTAGAATTGTGGCTTAAAATATTTCCCAATAAGATATTTTGAATGAAAATTGATGTTTAATTAAAATGTTAAGTAAATATTTAGGTGAAAAAGTGAACATTAAATGATACATATATAAAACATAAGAAAACAAGTTTGAATTGATACTTTGTCAGCTGTCAAGTTGTTTGACAATCCATCTACCATGTAGGAGTAAATACAGTAAACATCTATATATATAAAAAGAAGAACAAAATAATAATAGCTGGCAGTGTTGGCACTAGCTTTTCTTAGCCTGATCTAACCAAGGATTTCGTAGAGCAGTTTACTGCACTATTCTTTGTTAAAGAGCATTGAGAATGAATATGTTGAAAATGCTTCCTTACTCTATGGGGTTTTTGATTTAGCTATAATTTTTTCTTGTTTAATGACTTTTTTTAAAAAAAACCTTTTTTTTTAAAGATTTATTTATTTATGCATACAAGAACTGGGGTACAGGCCAGAGGTGTGTGTGTGTGGTGGGGGGTGTTGTGAAGGATTCACCAGAGACAGAGTGGGAAGTAGAACAGGCAGATTGACTAAAATACACTGAGGGGAGCAGCAGGTGAGTCAGGAGAGGTCTGCTGCGCCATGTGGGTAACCTCCCTGGCCGGGGATCAAACTCATGCTGCAGTGGTTGCAGATAGTTTGATAGGTTGCATATTAACCCCTTGCGCCACCAGGGAGGCCCCTTTAATGACATTTCTTTTAGGGATTAAGTTTTTGAATCCAAGGTGACTTTTTTTTTAAGATTTATTTTTTTTAGTGTATTTATGCATACAAGAACTATGGTGTACGCTAGAGGTGTGGGGGGGTGAGAGGATTCACCAGAGACACAGTGGGGAGCAGAACAGGAGGATTGACTGAAATACACTGTTGAGGGGAGCAGCAGGTGAGATAGGAGAGGTCTGCTGTGGCATGTGGGTTAGTTCCCTGGCTGGGTATTGATCTCATGCTGCAGTGGTTGTGGATAGCTTCATAGCACTGAGACTTTAACCTCTGTGCCACCAGAGAGGCCCCCAAGGTAACTTTTATGTATACTCTAAGCTTCATTATTTTGTTGTTAAGGATAAAATGTGGAATACAATTTTTTTATTTGTAAGGCCTGAAACTTTTTCAAAGGTGTTGAGGCAGTTAGTTAATCCAGGAATGTGGACTGTCATGGGGAATACATTTATTTCTGAAGGAGATTGCCATAACTTTTAAAATATTTTTAATGTTACAGAGGCCAAGGCTGCCCCAAAAGATTGTTTCATTGATGTGAATTCTAAAGGTGACAGATTTGGCAATTGTGGTTTCTCTGGCAACGAATACAAGAAGTGTGCCACTGGGTAAGTGGAGGCAAGGTTGTAAAGCAATGTGAAAGATTATGATAAGATCAGTCATTTCTAGAATCTTTTATAACGCCTTGTGATTACTGACTTTCTCCTCCTTAAATACTTTTTGAATTTATAATTTTGCAATGCAAAACTTCAGAGAGACTCTGATAGAACTGATAAAATAATTTATCTCTTTTGATTTAACTGTCTAAAATCTAATGATTTTTAAATCTTACTTTGTTTACCTTTGTTCTACAATAAACACATTTCCTTTTCTTCCTTTCATAAAAACATAATGTTGTTAAATCTGTAGATGACATTACCTGCAGAATGAATTCTGGATTTCATTATTTTTTTTTAACTCAATAATTTTAAGATAACAAATGAAAACCTTTTTTGTTTTTGTAACATTTGCTTATTAAAAAAAGATTAGTAATATAGAAATTACAAATGAGAAAAATGTCATCCATCCCAGTCTATATATATTCATTACTTTCACTGTATTTTTTATTTCTGTGCAGTATGCATCTCACTGACATTTTACATAATGGGAACTGTTCTTTAATATGTGCATCTCTTCTACCCATTCACTCCACCTACTACTTTGCCAATTAGTCTGAGCAACTGTAGTGAAACAATACTTATGAAGAAGAAATAACAGTGGAGACTTCCATGTCACTGAATCCAATAGACATTTTTAGGTCTTCTTGATACTTGAGCTTTCAGTAGCATTCAACTATGTGGAACATTTTGTCCTTCTTGAGAAAATCTTTGACATTTGTGTAGAATCTTCTCCTAGTATTTTTTTCTATATTTCAGAATGCATCTTTAAGTTTTTATGTGTAGACTCATCTTTCTCTCCAGTCATTTAATGCTGTGAGATACTTTAGTTATATCAGCCTATGTGTCTCCACGGGGCTATGTGCCTTTGCACATGCTGTTCCTTCTGCGTGGCATGCTTTGTTCTCCCCTCCCAGATCTCAGATGAAATATGCCTTATGTCAGGAAAACTTCCTCAATTTCCTAAACAGGGTCAGATATCCCTCTTAAAGGTGTTCTTAAACCTATATACTACTCATTTATAAATAATAGCCAATTAGTTGTGTTCTAATTCTTTAGACATTTATTTTCAGCATGAGGTAAAATTCATAGAATTTCAGAACATACTTTTCTTTTTTTTAATGGAAATATTTAATTTCAGAATTACCTGGGAATGACCTTTTCATCCCTGGGGAAAGAATGTGTTGTGGGGAAGGATGGAGTGTAGGCCAGAGGCACAGAGGTGAAAGAATTCACCAGAGACAGAGTGGAGAACAGAAAAGGCAGATTTATTGAAATACACTGCTAAGAGAAGCAGCGGATGAAGCAGGAGAGATTTGCTGCACCCAGACATACATTTCTTGATATATGGAAGAGCAGACTGAGGGAAGTTAACAAAGCGGTACTTCAAAAAGTGATATGAAGATAACTTTTTTGATATCTAATATAGTATCAAAAATGGTTGTAGAAATAAGTAGTCTTGCATTAATGTATCACTCTTTTGGGTGGAAGTTAAACTATTCATAATACACTTTGAGTGTATTCAAAATCCATGGGAAGATTTTATGTCCAAGCCACTGCCTTATTAGCAGAACAACCATTTAAAAATGATGCCTCATAGTGCTGAGACTTAACCCCTTGCGCCATTAGGGAGATCCTACAGTTTGATTTCTCCTTTTATTCATGGATATTGAAAAGTGTATTGCTTAATTTCCAAATATTTTGGAATATTCTAGTTTCTATTTTTTTAATATTCTTTTTTTATGTTGTATTTTATTTTATTTTTTAAGATTTATTTATTTATTTATACAAGCACTGGATATAGTCAGAAGCGCGGGAGGGTGAGAGAATTCACCAGAGCCAGAGCAGGGAGCAGAACAGGCAGAAGGACCTAAGTACACTGCTGAGGGGAGCAGCGGGCGGCAGGAGAAGTCTGCTTGCCATGTGGGACCCTCCTCTGGTGGCCGGGGAGCAGCCAGGGATGGAACCGGCGCTGCAGAGGCTACCAGGCAGCTTCACAACCCAGTGCTCAACCGCTACACCACCGGGGAGGCCTCTAGTTTCTATTTTTGATTGCTAGCTAATTCCATTGAGAACATACTCAATGATTTCCGTTCTTTGCAGTTTTTTTGAGATGTGAATTATTGCTTAGTATATTACCTATTTTGGTGAATTTTCCTTGTGAAATTAAAAAAAGGGGTAGTCTGCATTTGTTGCATATGGTATTGTGTATAGATGTTAAATTAATCTTTTATAATCTTCTATATCTTTGGGGAGTGTGTGTGTTTTCTCTCAATTTCTGAGGAAGATGTGTTAAATTTCCACCTGTTTCTCCTTTTAGTGCTGTATATTTTTGCTGTATATATTTTGAACCTATGTTAATAGGTGCTTGCATTATTAGGTGCATACATATTTAGGATTCTTAGATTTTCTTGATCTTTTTATTATTAACACATTTTCTTCTTTATCTATGGAATATTCTTTTATAGTATTGTCATGGTTCCATTTGTTTATGTGACTGGTTGTCATTTTTTATCACTAAACTGTAAAATCTAGTGAAGTATTTATTTGAATCAGGAAGAAACAGAAAACTTGACCAGAAAAATCACAGGCACAGATATCAAAACAGCAATCAACAGTCTACCTATAAACAAAAGACTAGGATCAGATGACTTTGTTAGTTTATTCTACCAAGCCTTCAAAGAAGATATAATACCTTTTTTTTAAAACTTTAAAAAATCAGAGGGGGGGGAGCTACTTGAACATTTTACAAGGCTAATATTACCTTTATCCCAAAACCAAAGACAAAAATTAGGAAAAAACTATAGACTGATATCTGTGAGGAAGAAAAAATGCAAAAAATCCTGAACATGATCTTGTCAAATTGAATTCAGCAATATATAAAGAGATTCATCAATCATGACCAAGTAGAATTAATTTCCAGTATTGAAGGTTGATTCAACAAATGAAAATCAATCATTGTCATTCACCACATCAACAGAAAGAAAGATGAAAATCACATGACTATTTCAATAGATGGTGAAAAAGCATTGATAAGATTCAACATTCATTTATGACATAAACAATAAAATGGGAGTGAAAGGAACTTAATGTAATAAAGACCATAAGTGAGAAACCCACAGCCAACATTATACTCAATGGTGAAAAACTGAAAGTATTTCCCCTAAGATTAGGAACAAGACAGGCGATGTGTACTCTTATTACTGTTATTAAGCATTGTATTGGAAGTTGTAGCCAGAGCAATTAGACAAGAAAAGGACATAAAAGAAATCCAAATGAAGAAGGAAGTGAAAGTATCACTATTTGCATGTGACATCATAATATACAAAGAAAATCCAAAGAATTCCACCAACAAACTACTAGAAATAATAAATGAAAGGGACAGGATCTAACTTCAATACACAAAAATGTGTTTTTATATGCAAACAATGAATAAGAAGAAAGAGAACTTAAAAAAAAAATCATCCCATCAATAATTGCACCAAAAAGGATAAAATACATAGGAGTAAAAATAAACAAATAGGATTGTATAAAACTAAAAAGCTTTTGTACCTTGAAAGAACCATGAGCCCCCCCCCCCCAACACACACACAAAGAGCAATAGACTGGAGAAAATATTTGCACATCACATATCTGACAAAGGGTTAATTTCCAAAATATATAAAGAAATCATACAACTTAACAACCAAAAACCAAGCATCCCAATCAAAAAATGAGCGAAAGACCTTAATATACACTTCTCCAAAGAAGACTTCAGATAGCTTTCAGAGGACATTTATTTCAGATAGATGAAAAAATGCTCAGCATCATTTATTATGAGGGAAATGCAAATCAAAGCCAGGAGACATCACCTTATCCCTATGAAAATGGCTTATAAAAGCAAAGTTTCTTGCTCCTATATTTTCTTGGTTGAGATTTCCTTCAGTCAAATATTGTGTCTGTATAAAAACATGCAATTTTTACTTTGTTGTATACATGGATACATTTTAAGTTTGAATTATTTTTCTGTATTTATAGGAATGCTTTGTGTGGAAAGCTACAATGTGAGAATGTACAAGGCATGCCGGTATTTGGAATTGTGCCTGCTCTTATTCAGACTCCCAGTAAAGGCACTACATGTTGGGGTGTGGATTTCCAGCTGGGGTCAGATGTTCCAGATCCTGGGATGGTGAATGAAGGCACAAGATGTGATGTTGGAAAGGTAATAAAAAAAATCTTCTATTTACAAAGGAAAATTTAAAAAAATCTTTATACAAAGTGATTGTTCTTTTCTAACTCTGAAAGAAATTTATTATAAAGATTTTGCAAACTACAAAGCCATCAAGAACAAAATTAAGAATAGCTATAATTATGTTACTCAGGTTTCCTCATCTGGGTCTTTTAATATAACCTATGGCTTCTATGTTGTGAGATACTATATTTCCTTCCCCTATCAATGTGCTATAATTTACTAATTTGCTATTACTGGGATACATATGTGATTGTGTGTGTGTGTGTGTGTGTCTGTGTCTGTGTGTGTGTGTGTGTGTGTGTGTGTGTGTATGTGAGGGGGAGAAAAAGAAAGGGAGAAAGACAAGTAAACATACATGTGAGTCTCTGTATAGAAATGTCAGTGCTTGCTCTGCCTAACCTGCCCGCTATCCTTGCCATAGCTGTTTGGGTTAGATTTAAGCCAAGAGTTAACCAGCCATTGCCTTATCAGTGGTTTCATATTAGAATATGAGCTAGACCAGGTTCCTTTATTTGTTGAATATTTAATCAAAGAAAGACAATTAAGAGTAGTACAGAAACTCAAGCATTCTTTTAGAGATGTAGAGGTAGCAGTAGGGCTAGAAGGGCTATGGCAACATTAGGCCGTATGCAGGAGATAAATGGGAACAGGATTGTTGAGCAAGTTGAAGGAACCAACTCAGAGATGAATAGGGAAAAGAAGGAAGAAGAGGAAGAGGAGGGGAGACAATATAATTGCCTGATTATGTGACACATGAAAAAACAAGTGGACCCTCAAGTTAACTCTATTTTTTCTATGATAAATAAATGTATTATATCTTTCTGCAAGAACTGAAAAAAATTAGCCCCCTAAACTTGTTTGTATGAGAATTGTACAGATCTCAGTAATGGGGTAGTATAGCTACATCAAAGTTAAGAAAAACAAGGTTTAAAGAAAAAGTTGAATATTCTTATATGAAAATTTTATCTGTCTAAACAATTTCTGTTGAAATCAAATTTAAGATACCTAAATTTCTCCAAGTTTTCATTCTAATTCTGTTCTTGTTGCAAAAGACCCTTATGTTTTTGTGGTGGTGCTGTCACTACATAAACTGCAGGTATAAACAAAGCTGATATAAAAGGATTTATAGATAAAATAAAAATAAAAATTTCAGAACATCTGTTTGTTTTCTGAGGTTAAATTGCTGTAGTTTTGTGCACACTTTTACAATTTAAAATATGGTTTTGCGAGGTTTCTTTTGAGAAAAGTTTTACTAATGTACCTTTAAATCAGCTTTCAATAATAAGTGTTTATTCTCCATACCGTAGTTAAGATTAGCTGCTAATATTTTAAAACATTCCTTGGTAATTTCCCTTTTATTTTAATTTTCTTATTTTTTTTTTTTAATTGAGGTAGCATTGGTTTATAGCACTGTGGGTGGTTCAAACACATAGGATCAGGTCACCACACTACACCCATCAACAAGGCACACTTAGCCCTTACCAACCCCCTTGTTTTTACTCCTCCCCCTCCTCATCTTGTAGCCTCAACTCCACAAGCATATTTTTAAGAGTTTGTTATTGGTTTGGTTTTGTCTGATCCTTTGTATTGTTTTCCCTGCATTCCATATATGTGGAACTATCCAGTGTTTGTCTTTCTCATTATGATATTTTGCTAAATAGTATTCCGTCCAGTTCCATCCCTGTTGCCGCAAATGCCAAGAGTTAATTTTTTTACTTTAAAAAGAGTAGTAGTCCCATTTCTTTTCATGGGTTTGTTGGCCATCTGTATTTCTCCTTTGGAGAAATGTCCATTTAGCTCTTCTGCCCATCTTTTGATTGGGTTATTTGTTTTGTTTTTGTTGAATCATGTGAGTTCTTTGTAGATCTTGGGTATTATTCCCTTGTCAATATATGATGTGCAAATATTTTCTTCCATTTAGTAGGGTGTCTTTTCATTTTCATTATAGTTAGAGTCCTATCCTTTCTGGCTCTGCTAATAACCGAGGATGAACTCGTGCTGCAGTGGCTGCGGATAGCTTCACAGTGCCTTAACCCCTTGTGCCACCAGGAAGGCCCCCATCTCCTTCCGTGGTTGTTGATGATGGTGTCCATGGGGATGGCTAGTGTTGGAGAGAATCTTTACCATTCTAAGCAGCTTATCATTGTATCCCTTCCATTGTGGTTCTACCAATTCCACAAAGTAAACATGATCAGTCCATACCCTTTTAACAACTTGGAATTTTTCTGCTCCCTAAAATAAATATGCCAGCTATTAATACACTTTATGTTATCTCTGTGATCTTATTTAATGCTTCAAGTGTCTACCTACTGTAGTTATTGAACAGTGTTCTTTTAGCTGAAAAGGAAGCTATTGATATATATATCACCTCAAAAGTTTTATAGATATATGAGAAATGCATTCTGAAATCTGTTCATAAGAACTGTGTGGAAGGAAGGCAGATGAGGAGTGACTTTTTACTGTGTAACCATCTGTAGTTTTTGAATTTTTAACTATATGAATGTTTCTTATTTAAAATTTATTGAAAAAATTATTGGGGGAAATAGAATTTGGTAATCCTCTGTACATTTCTGTTGAAACCTATATATATATATATATATATTTAACTATATGTTAAAGTATCTATTGATTTTTTAGAATAGTTAAGGTATCTATTCATATTTCATTGTTTGTTCTCTAATTTCTCTTAATTTCATCAGATCCTTTAAACATCCTGATTTTGTGTGGTAGGTTACTTATTAAAATTTAAAATAGCACTCCACAATCTTAATAAAAAGACTACTCTTCTAGCATTACAAAAGAGCAGTTTTTATAATGTGTCAATTTTCCACAAAATGGAAAAATTTTTATTTATTTATTTATTTATTTATTTTAATAATAAATTTTATTTTTATATTCCCCATACAATTGCAGCCCCCCCATTCTGAACCCAATCCCTCCCCGCCCACCCCCGCCCCCCTAAAAGTGTCTCTGGTTCATAGTTTTTTGTTGATTTTGATTTTCACTTTCTTATAGTTATTCGTTTTCCTGGTCCCTTATTTAAGTTTTCTAGATTCCTGCTATGAGTGAGACCATCCGGTATTTTTCTTTTCTTTTTGGCTTATTTCGCTGAGCATGATCCCTTCCAGTGCCATCCAGTTGCTGCAAATTGCATGTGTTTATCTTTTTTGAATGCTGAGTAATATTCCATGGTGTATATGTACCACATCTTCTTGATCCAGTCATCTATATTTGGGCATTTGGGTTGTTTCCAAAGCTTAGCTATTGTAAACAGTGCTGCTATAAACATAGGGGTGCAGGTGTTCTTTGGAATTGATGTTTCTGTGTCCTTTAGGTAAATACCTAGGAGTGGAATTTCTGGATCATATGGAAGCTCTATGTTTAGTAGGTCCAGAAATCTCCACACAGCTCTCCACAGTGGTTGGACCAGTTTGCACTCCCACCAACAGTGCAGAAGAGTTCCTTTTTCTCCACACCCTCGCCAACATTTGTTGTTGCTAGTTTTTTTAATATCTGCCATTCTCACTGGTGTAAGATGGTATCTCATGGTAGTTTTGATTTGCATTTCCCTGATGACAAGTGATGTTGAACATTTTTTCATATGCCTGTTGGCCATTTGCATTTCCTCTTCAGAGAAGTTTCTTTTTAGCTCTTCTGCCCATTTTTTGACTGGATTATTTTCTTTGTTGTTGTTGAGTCTCATCAGCTCTTTGCAGATTTTTGTGATCAGTCCTTTATCATTAGTGTTGGGTGCAAAAATGTTCTCCCAGTTGGTGGGGTTTCTCTTTGTTTTTGTTATTGTCTCTTTTGCTGTGCAGAAGCTCTTTAATTTGATGTAGTCCCAGCTGTTTATCTTTGCCTTCACTATCACTGCTTTGGGTGATGTGTCTGTAAAGATGTCTTTGATGTGCAAATCACGTAGTGTTTCGCCTATATTTCCTTCTATATATTTTATGGTTTCAGGTCTTATGTCTAGTTCTTTAATCCATTTTGAGTTGATTTTTGTGTATGGTGTGAGGTAGTGGTCAAGCTTCTTTCTTTTGCATGTAGCGACCCAGTTTTCCCAGCACCATTTATTGAACAAACTTTCTTTGCTCCAATGCATAGTCTTTGCTCCTTTGTCAAAGATTAGTTGACCATAAATCTGTGGGTTTATTTCTGGATTTTCTATTCGATTCCATTGGTCTGTATGTCTGTTCTTGTTCCAATACCATGCAGTTTTGATGATTATGGCTTTGTAGTAGAGTTTGAAGTCTGGGAGTGTGATGCCTCCATTCCCTTCTTTTTTTTTCAGGAGAGCTTTGGCTATTCGGGGTTTTTTGTGATTCCATATGAATTTCATCAATAATTTTTCTATTTCTTTGAAGAATGACATTGAAATTTTGATTGGAATAGCATTGAATCTGTATATTGCTTTTGGAAGGATGGCCATTTTAATAATGTTTATTCTTCCAATCCATGAGCAGGGGATGTCTTTCCATTTCTTTGTGTCTTCTTCTATTTCTTTTAACAGTGTTTTATAGTTTTCTTCTTATAGGTCCTTTACCTCTTTTGTTAGATTTATTCCCAAATATTTGATTTTTTTGTTTCAATAAAAAAAGGGATGGTTTTTTTGATTTCTTCTTCTTCAGATTTATTGTTTGTGTATAGGAAGGCTACTGACTTTTGCGTGTTGATTTTGTATCCTGCCACTTTACTGAACTGATTGATGAGTTGAATTAGTTTTTCTGTGGACTTTTTGGGGTTCTCTATGTATATTATCATATCATCTGCAAATAGTTTGACTTCTTCTTTTCCTATTTGGATTCCTTGGATGTCTTTCTCTTGTCTTATTGCTCTGGCTAGGACTTCCAGTATTATATTGAAAAGCAGTGGTGAGAGTGGACATCCTTGTCTTGTTCCAGATCTTAATGGAATTGCTTTCAGCTTTTCACCATTGAGAATGATACTGGCTGTTGGCTTGTCATAGATGGCCTTTATGATGTTGAGGTATGTTCCTTGTATCCCAAGAATTTCAAGGGCTTTTATCATGAATGGGTGTTGCACTTTGTCGAAAGCTTTCTCAGCATCTATTGATATTATCATATGGTTTTTATATTTCTTTTTGTTGATGTGTTCGATAACGTTGATTGATTTTCGGATGTTAAACCATCCCTGTGTCCCTGGAATGAATCCTACTTGGTCGTGGTGAATTATCTTATGGATACATTGTTGGATTCTGATAGCTAAAATTTTATTGAGGATTTTTGCATCAGTGTTCATTAGGGAGATTGGCCTGTAGTTTTCCTTTTTTGTATTGTCCTTGTTCAGTTTTGGTATTAGTGTAATGTTGGCTTCATAGAACGTGTTTGGTATTGTCCCTTCCTTCTCAATTTTTTGGAAGAGTTTGTGAAGGATAGGCACTAATTCGTCTCTGAATGTTTAGTAGAATTCATTTGTAAATCCATCAGGTCCTGGGCTTTTGTTTTTGGGGAGGTTTTTGATTACCATTTCAATTTTGCTGCTTGTAATTGGTCTGTTTAGGTGTTCTATTTCTTCTTTATCTAGCTTTGGGTGATTGTAGAGTTGTAGGAATTTGTCCATCTCCTCTAGATTGTTAAACTTGTTTCCATATAACTGTTCATAGTAGTTACTGATTATTCTTTTGATTTCTGCTGTGTCTGTTGTGATTTCTCCTCTTTCATTGATGATCCTGTTTATTTGTGCTTTCTCCCTTTTTTCCTTTGTGAGCTTGGCTAGGGGTTTGTCTATTTTATTGATTTTTTCAAAGAACCAGCTCTTGGTTTCATTGATCTTTTGGATTGTTTTTTTAGTTTCAATTTCATTTATTTCTGCTTTTGTTTTTATTATTTCTTTTCTTCTACTGGTTTTGGGGTTTTTTTGTTGTTCTTTTTCTAGATCTTTGAGCTTCGAGATTAGGTTGTTTCTTTGAGTTCTTTCTTGTTTCTTGATGTGAGCTTCTATTGCTATATATTTTCCTCTTATTACTGCTTTTGCTGCATCCCATACATTTAGGATATTGGTGTCCTCCTTGTCGTTCAATTCAAAGAATTTTTTAATTTCTTCTTTGATCTCCTCATTAGTCCAGTGGTCTTCCAGTAGTGTGGTTTTTAATCTCCATGAGGTAGGAAAGTTCCTTGCCTTCTTTTTATGGTTTATTTCTAGTTTGATGCCTTCATGGTCAGAAAAGATGGTTGATATGATTTCAATCTTGGTGTATCTGTTGATGTTTGTCTTGTGCCCCAGTATGTGATCGATCCTGGAGAATGATCCGTGTGCACTTGAGAAAAATGTGTACTCTGTTTTTTTGGGGTTTAGTGTTCTATAGATGTCTGTTAAGCCCAAATGCTCTAGGTCCTTATTTAGAGCTTTGGTTTCTTTACTTATTTTTCGTCTTGTTGATCTATCCATTGTTGATAGTGGTGTGTTGAAGTCTCCCACTACGTATGTGTTTTCTCTGATGTCTGTTTTCAGAGAGGACAACAGTTGTCTGATATATTTTGGTGCTCCTTCGTTTGGTGAGTATATGTTAATGAGTGTTATTTCTTCTTGAAGTATTGTCCCCTTGATCATAATGTAGTGACCATTTGGGTCTCTTTTTATCTTTTTGAGTTTGAAATCTGTTTTATCTGATATAAGTGTAGCTGTTCCTGCTTTCTTTTTTGGTCCATTTGCTTGTAGGATTGTTTTCCATCCTTTAACTTTGAGCCTATTTTTATCTTTTGTAGCTAAATGTGTTTCCTGGGGACAGCAAAAGGTTGTGTTTTGTTTCTTAATCCAGGATGCAACTCTGTGTCTTTTTATTGAAGAGTTTAGTCCATTTACATTTAGAGTTAATATTGATATGTTAGCATCTGTATTTGCCATTGTGTTTGTCTTTCCTTTGATTTTATTTATTTATTCTTTTAATAACTTTTTTTTTTTTTTTGGCCTTCTTTCATTGTTATTCGTCCCTCTGAGGTTCTGGCTTTAGGACTCCTTGTAGTATTTTTTGGAGTGGGGGTTTAGTTGTAATGAAATTCCGGAGTTTCTGTTTGTCTGGGAAGGTCCATATTCTTTCTTCAAAGAGGAAGGAGAGCTTTGCGGGATAGAGAATTCTTGGTTGGCATCTGTTTTCTTGGAGTCTGTTGACTATGTCCCTCCACTCTCTCCTTGCCCGTAGTGTTTCTTCGGAGAAGTCTGATGTCAGCCTGATTGGCTTTCCTTTGAATGTTATCTGTTTCTTCCCTCTTGCCAGCTTCATTATTTTTTCCTTGTCCTGGATTCTTGGGAGCTTTACTATTATGTGTCTTGCTGTATTTTTCCTTTCGTCGTGGAAGTTTGGTGTTCTTCTTGCTTCTTGTATATCAATTTTCAGCTCCTTCTTCACATTTGGGAAGTTCTCTTCAATTATCTCTTTGAATATTTTCTCTGTTCCTACATCTCTCTCCTCTCCTTCTGGTATTCCTATAACTCTTATATTTCCTTTCCTCATGGAGTCAGATAATTCCCGAAGTCTTTCTTCGTTCTTTTTCCTTCGTACTTCTCTTTCCTTTTCTGTTTTGGTTCTTTTTATTTCTGTGTCTTCAAGAGTACTTATTCGTTCTTCCATTTCATCTATTCTGCTTTCATTGCTTTTCCCAGAATTCTTTAGTTCTTCCATTAATTCTTTGATCTCCTGCATTTCTTTTACTTCCCTCTTTAGGGACTCAATTTCATTCTTCTGACCATTGTTTTCCCTCTTTAGGGACTCAGTTGCATTCTTCTGATCGTTGATTATTTTTCCCTTATCATTGTTTTCCTTTATGACTTCTGTCAGTTTTTTAATCACGGCAATTTTAAATTCTCTTTCTGGAAGGCTCAGAAGTTCTTCCAAGTTACTGTCATTGCAATCTGGGTGGTGGTTTTCCTTTTGTGCTGTGCTTTTTCCCTGGGGAGTTGCTAGGTTGCGTGTGGTTCTTCTCCTCCCTACTGTCTGTTTTCTAATTTGCCGTATGCGTTGGGACACTGTGTAGTTGGGACTGGCCGGCATCTTGGGTGAGCTTCTCTGCTCTCCTCTGGTTCCTCCAGGAGTCATCTGTCAGTTTCAAGCAGTCTTTACTGGAGAAAGGTCCCTGTTCTAAAATGCCGATGTGGGGACACACTCCCCTGTGTGCCTGGTCTGCCCCGGCGGTGGGTTCCTGCTCCCCCTCTGGGCTTGGACTGCAGGCCAGAGGGGGTCTGGCGTGGGCGAACTTCCCCCGCTCACCTCTGGCTCCTGAGGAAGCCTTCTGCAGGTAGTCTTTACTGAAGAAATGTCCCTGTTCTAAAATGGTGATGTGGGACACACTCCCTGCGCGTCCGGTCTCAGGCACACTCTTCTGCGCGCCTGGTCTTCCCCGGCTGTGGGTGCTCGCTCCCCCTGTGGGCTCAGACTACTGGTCTGAAGGGGCCCTGCGTGGGTTAACTCCCCAGCTGGCCACTGGCTCCTCTAGGCGCCTCTGCTGGCTTCACGTCGCTAGGTGGCGCCAGAGATCTCTCCTGGAGCCCTTGGGGAGCTGATTTTCCACCCCGTGGAAATAGAGCGGGAATAGAGCGGGAATGGTTGGTGCCTGGGTGCCTGGTTCCTGCTCACTCAGTGAGGGCCTCCGCGCGTCTCCCCGCAAGCCTAGGTCGCAGGCGCAGGGACCTGGGCAGCTGCGATCTGGATCAGCGTTTGCTTTTCAACTGCACTGCTTTTCCGCGCGTGATCCCGATTCCGATCCACACTTGATTTTCCAGCGCGCCGCTTTTCCGCGCAAGCTTACCGGGCGGATGGGGGCTGTGTGCTGGTGCTGGTCTCCTCCTGGGGGGCGGGGTAACTCTTTAATGGCGCCCGGAGCTCACCTCTGCGGCGGATCCTGCAGGGTTCTCCACAGCTCCCGTTCACGGGTGTGGTGGCTGCAATAGTTCCTTTCCACTCACAGTCCCACTTGCTGCGTCGTTTGTTCTTGTTGGTCGTTTTAGTTTGTTGTTTTCCTCCTCTCTGCTGGCCGGAGAGTGCTGCCTCTGTGGGTGGGGGAGGGGAGCAGGGTTCTGCACTTCCCTCCCTTCTGGTCCTCTTTTATGGCCACTTTCTTCTTCGGGCAGTTTGCTGGAGTCACCCGTTTATCTTCCGTGTCCCGGTTCTCACTGGGACCTGCCGCTTTTCCTCCCTATTAACTTTTTTTAATGGGAGATTTTACTCGCAGTGTCTCCTCGCCGCCATGTTGCTCCGCCCCCCCCAAAATGGAAAAATTTTAATAAGTTCTTAACTTAGGATTTTTAGTTTAATACTTTTCTCAAATACTGTTAATTTTTATATATTTTTCAATATTTAGGACTCATTTCTGTTTCATATCTTATTGCATAAACTAAAATTATTAAAACTATATGAGATCTATGATTTATTGCCAGTAGTGCTTTTAATAGTAATGCCTCTTGTTTTATCATTAATCATGATATAGGAAGACAGGTTTTATCTTACCAACAAAGTATTTTTAATCTTATTTTTTTGAAAACTTTTAAAAATTAAAATGCTTAAGCTTTTTCAATGCCATTTTGATATCTAGTGTAATAGACAATTTTATAGCTATTATAGTAATAAATTTCCTATTAATGAGTATTTTTTACAGCAGTGGGATCACCTATATCTGGTGATTTTTCATTTGAAAAATATCTATTTCTGAATATTTTACTTAGGATATTCACATCTATATTTGTCTAAAAATTTATAGTTTTGTTTTTGAATTTTATGTCATGTTTGATGATTAATTGTATGTTTTCAATTTATAGTGTGGGAATTAACTTTAATAAAAATTAAAAGAAGTTCAGTAGTCTATGGTCTTTTGTTCTGAGTACTTTATTAATGTGTTCAACTTTTCCTTATTCATTTTTCAATTTTTTTCCCTTTAGATATGTAGAAACTTCCAATGTGTAAATGCTTCTGTTCTGAATTATGACTGTGATATTCAGAAAAAGTGTCATGGACATGGGGTACGTACTTTTCTCCTTTGGCTTGTTCATGAAAGTAGTGCTGAATAATAAGAATTCCCTCAGAGGATTAAGTGGAGACCTCTCAAGATTTTGAGATGTTTAAATATTGGGAAATGTAGATACCTAATTATTTTTTTCATTCTTAAAGAGAATGTTTATGGGTTTGCATCATTTTAATCCATTGTCTTGATTTCCATTTTTGAGTTCATAGTTCAGAGCAACAATCACAATTAACAATAGTGATATTTTGTTTTGAAGGTATGTAATAGCAATAAGAATTGTCACTGTGAAGATGGCTGGGCACCCCCAAACTGTGAAACTGCAGGATACGGAGGAAGTGTGGACAGTGGACCTACGTATAATGGCAAGTAATACAGAGGAAAATTAGTGTGATCTTTACCCACATCAGAAATTGGGCATCATTGTACTTCCCTCTCACTTCCTACATCAGTTACATGTTAAATTGTGTCAATTCTGTCTCCTAAATTCCCCCGGAGTGTTTCTGCTTTTTTTAAAAATCCCTGTTAATTACCTTTAATTTCTTGCCTGGATTTACGTAATATTCTCTTAAATATGATCCTCATTTATCATCTTGTTCCCTATAATCCGTATTCCAAACTATGTTATAGAGTTTTAGTATTTTTTTTTTTAAGAATTCAGTTTTAATCATGTCATTGCCGTACTTTTAATTCAGTGCTTCTGAGTTGCTATTAGAATGAAGTCCAAAAATCCTGTACATGGGTTAAACACTCTGAATGATTTGCCTATATATTAACTTTCCAACTTCATTTCACTGTTTAAAACATTGTAACTTCATTTATTTCCTCTAATAGCCTACTGTCTTTTACCTCTAGTCCTCTGTATTGTATAGTCATAGAGTTGGAGCTTAGCTAATTGCTACTTAGATGCCAGTTTTATACCTATTTCCTCTATGAAGTTTCCCCTGAATACCTAAATCTAAATTAATATGCCCCTTCTACTTGTTCTTCAATTACTGTAAATACCATGCTACAATAATTGCATATTTTTACTCCTTGATAGACTTGTACACTAGTATCTTCCAAGTGAGAACATATTCTATCTTTCTTTTGGGTAAATGCAAGGTAGAATGGCTGACTCATAGAAATGGTGCAGGTTCAGCATTTTAAGAAACTGCCAAGTTATTTCTGAATGTGGTTACACTATTTTGCAGTTCTCCAGTTGTACATGAGTGTTGCAGTTTCTCCACATCCTTTTGGGCATTTGGTGTGGCCAGTCTTAATATTAGCTATTCCGTAGGTATAAAGTAGCATTTTTCATTGTGGACTTAATTTTTATTTCTCTAATTACTAGAGCGGAATTTTTTTTTTTTCATGTGCTTATTTGCCATCTATATTTCTTCTTTGGTGATATGTCTGTTCAAATCTTTTGCCCAGTTTCTTGTTAGGTTGTCCTTTTGAATTTTCAGAGTTCCTTATTTAGTATACATATCTTTTATGAAATATGTGCTCTGTACATGTTTTATACCAGACTGCTTACTTTGGGTTTCTTTTATTCTTAGTTTTCTAGTTTCTAATGCTGGATGATGAGGTCATTGATCTGAGAGCTTCTTTTCTAATATAAACATTGTAGTGCACTTAGTTTTTTCCTTTGCTTTTCACCTTAATTTTATTTATTTAATATATATTTATATATATAAACATCGTTGTTCTTTTTTTTTAAGATTTATTTTATTTATTTATGCATGCAAAACTGGGATGTAGGCCAGAGGTGCAGGGGGTGAGAGGAGTCACCAGAGACAGAGTGGAGAGCAGAACAGGCGGATCTACTAACATACACTGCGGAGGGGAGCAGGGGCAAGACAGGTGAGGACTGCTGCACCATGTGGGTCAGCTCTCTGGCCTGGGATTGAACTCATGCAGCTGAGGCTTCACCCCTATGCCACCAGCGAGGCCTTTGTTCATTTTTGTACAGTGTTTTGTTTTTCCTTTCAGGTGTAATTCCCATAAAATCCCCAACAGCAAGTCACTGTGAAACTTCACCTTAGTCTTTTGTGCTCTTCCCTCCCCTGTTTGATCCCTACCCTCCCCTCCCCTGCTTACATCTCTGATTATAATTTGCCTGCTAGTTTTATCTTATTTTTTCTGACCCCTTGTTTGGTTTCCTTATATTCCGCCTATAAGTGAAACCATCCGATATAGTGCATTGATTTTAAGAATAGCTTTTTTCACATTGCACACGTTTTGGTATTCTGTGCCTTCATTTTTATTCAGCTCAAAATAATAAAATTCTTTTATTTTTTTCTTTGTTAATTTAGAAATATATTACTCTGTCATGAAGTAGCTGGGAAATTTTCAGATATTTTTGTGTTATTTATTTCTTATATATTCCACTTTAGTCAGAGAACAAACTTTCTATGCCTAGAATCCTTTTTTACTTTTTAAAATGTATCTGTGGCCCAGAGTGGTTTATCTTAGTAAAAGATCTGTATGTATTGGGAAAGAATGTATATTCTGCTGTAACTGGGTAGAGTGTTTTGTAAATAACTAGTTCATGTTTATTGACAGATTTTTAAGTCATCTATATCCTTATGGATACTTATATACTTGTTTGGTCAATTATCAAGAGAGGAATATTGGAATCTCTGGCTTTAATTGCTCATTTGTCTCCTTTTCTCTGTAGGTCAGCCAGGTTTTGCTTTTTATTTGTTGTAAAGCTCTATTTGCTTAATTAATTATTATTATTTTTTCCTTATTGGGCAATGTTGTTTTACAAGCACTGTGTGTTATTGTGGGGAATAGGTTTAAACCTCCTCAGAGGTATGTTATCACATGAACCCCACCATCAAAGCACCTATAGTCCTTTACCCTAGGCCTTTGGGTCCCCTCTCCCCTTTTCTCTTCTCCTCCCCTCTCCCTCTGGCAGTCTTAATTCTGCAGTCATAGTTTTAGGGTTTTTTTTGGTTTAGTTTTGTCAGCTCCTTTGTTTTTTTTCTTCCTGTATAATATTCCACACATGAATAAAATAATCTGGTATTTGTCTCTCTCCTTCTGACTTGTTTCACTTAACATAATCCCCTCCAGTTTCATCCATGTGGCAAGCTTTCATCTTTTTTGTTTGTTTTACATAGAAGAGCAGTATTCTATTGTGTATATATACCACATCTTCTTCATCTAATCCTCTGTTGATAGGCATTTAGGTTGATTCTGTAACTTAATTACTGTAAATAGTGCTGCAATAAACATAGGAATGCATATATCCTTTCAATATAGTGATTTTTTATTCCTTGGTTAGATAACTTGGAGTGAAATTGCTGGGCCATATGGTAGATCTATTTTTAGTATTTTGAGGAATCTCCCTACTGTTTTCCATAAGGCTGTACCAGTCTACATTACTACCAATAGTGTATGGGGGTTCCTTTCCTTTTTCTCCACATTCTTTTCAAGTTTTTTTGTTTCTGGCTTTCTTGATGTGGGCATTTATATGGGCATGGGGTGGTAGTGAGTTGTGGTTTTGATTTGCATTTCCCTGATGATAAGTGATGTTGAACATTTTTTCAAGTGCCTTTTGGTCATTTGCATGTCTTTGGATAAGTCTCTGTTTAGTTGAATAACGTTTGTGGTATGTTAGCTTTTGTATAAAAAAAGGTTGACAATAAAAAATGTATTTTGTTCTTTATATTTGCATGAAGAAATGCTATAAGATTATATAAGAAACTAATAAAAGTTGGGGAGACAAAATTGAAGTGGGCAGGGCTGAGGTGTGAGTAAGACTTCTCAGCGTATTCAATTTATATCAGCTTGACTTTTGAACAATATGAAAATTAATGAAAATAATTTTTAATTATCGTGTTCTACTTAGTGTCAGTTAATATCTAATTTATTGACCATTAATGTAAAATTCTTCTCTTTAGAAAAGAATACTGCAACGAGAGATGGACTTCTGGTATTCTTCTTTGTAATTGTTCCCCTTATTGTTTTTGCTGCTTTTGCCTTCATCAAGAGAGATCAACTACGGAGAAGCTGCTTCAGAAAGAAGAGATCACGAACATATGAGTACTTAGAATTTTTCTTTTATACTCATTGTAGTTTGACTATTAACGATGAAAACAATATCATAGGGATTGTTTTAAAAATAATTTCAAAGTTATCTCTTTTTTCTTTTAGAATGACTAGCAGTGATTAAAGGGTAGTGATGACCTAGCTACTTCTTATAATAGTGAAGTAAATGATCACAGTGACCTGCTATATACTATTGAAAATGGCCCTTAGGGTTCATTTTGCTTCATATACAGCGGTTAGTTGAGTTTTGGGCTACAACTTCTGACAAGGATTTTCTTAATTAGAGATTAAAACATGGGATTAAGATAAAAACATAATGTTGAAAAATTTTTTCCAGGTCTGTTTCAAGTATCAATTCATAGAGGAACAGTTTTCAAATCTTGGTTTTGAAAAAAGTTTGTAAATCATAAACAGAAGGACTAATTTTGATGGATGAAAGTGTTGTCGTTACTCAGACACCAGACATTTCTAACATGTGTTAAACTATTGTAGGATAATTTCTGAACTATCACTTGTTACTATCAAGTTGGTATTAGAATGTAGCATACATATCATGTCATAATTCAAGTTCCAGATTTGTTATTAGCTAGAATAAGGAACTATAACAATAAATAAAACTTGCAGCATTTTATCTATTTCGTTTAAAATAGGAATAATAATATTACCTATTGGACCTCCCTAGTGGCCTATGGGTTAAATCTCACCACTATGACTGCAGTGGCCTGAGTTCTATCCCCAGCCAGGGAGCTAACCCACATAGTGCAGCAGACCTCTCCTGTCTCACCTACTGATCCCCTCAGCAGTATATTTCAGTCAACCCACCAGTTCTGGTCCCCACTCTGTCTCTGGTGAATCCTCTCACCCTGCACCTGTGGCCTACACCCCAGTTCTTTTACATAAAAATAAATTAAATCTTTTTTTAAAAAATCTTAAAATATTACCTACCTCTGCTTGGTTGTTATGAGGAATAATGAAGAATTATCAAAAATCACCCTATAGCATGATGCTGGCACAATGCAATTACTTAACAACTAGTGGTTACTATGATTTCAAAATGTATACATCTAACCTTGATACTCTTTTACTTCATTGTCTAACATAACATTTCCTTAGAGTATCATGATGTTATTTTTAATTTTTAACATATCCTAAAATGTTTATCTTCCTGTTCTTTTTTTTCTCTTACTGCCTATCAAAATTCAGACTGACCAGTCCTTGTAGATAACTCCCCAATCTGCACCTCCAAAATGTTAGTTTCTTAACTATAGCTATCTCCCATACATCTCTACCTAGCTGACTTGCTGTCACCTCAGCATGTCTAAAACTTAGCTGGTATATATTCAGCTTGCTTTCGCCTCCAGGATTTCCTGACTTATAGATTGATTGCTTCAGATTTTAACTATGAAGCCTAAAATATGCCTTTACTCTTCTCTAATTTCATGAAAACTTGAGATAAGTTTGGAGACACTTGCCTGATTGTGAAATTGACAAAATTTATGATTTTCTAGAATTTACATCTATCTGATTATAAAATGGGGTTAAAACTTTTTTTCTAGTATGGAAGGGTCAGCTCCAGCAGGGGTGGTAGGACCTGGGAGGTTACAGCCTGGGTGGGGCCTGTAAGGGCCTAGTGAGGGCCGTGGGGTATCAGGGGTGGCATGTGGACGTGGATGGGCCTTTAGAACTTTGAGGAATTTGGGCCACAGTGACTCAGGAGCCAAGTGGTGCTGAATGGGTGGGAGGTGATTACGGACCAATTCCTCCTTTTGTGAATTCTCAGTGACCTTGGCTTACTCACTTACGTGATCTGGTGCCTTCATGTGTAAACTGTGAATTATAAACCCTGTCTGTTAGATGGGACCTTTTTAAGGTTCAGTGGTGAGATCGCCTTAGGAGTACCAGGAGTACCAGATAGTTTGCTGGACTGCCTCACCATAGGGTGACTAGTATGCAAATACATATTCTCTGACCCACTGACTATATTGTCATGGCCTACCTGGGTTGGGGAGAGGAACTTTGAAACTATGTTATTGTGGCAATGGACAATTCCCTATTCTATCAGCTGTTAGTGCACAAAAGGGAGCTGGACTGTAGCTTTTCTGGACTTTGGTTTAATTATACCAAATCATGGAATGTCCATCCAGATGTCAGTAATACCTTCAGCTTCAAGGGACAGGCTAAAGGTAGAAGTGATTGAAGTCTATAGAGATAGAGTCCCCAATTCCACACCCTTTTTCAGTCACACTTGTTGAATGTAACGGGAGCTTGCCTCTATAGCAGACCTGAAATGCATAATGTTAAAGGTAATACCACTGGCCGAAAATGTAGAAGTGTCAAGAAGGTATTAGTTAAATTCTTGGATAACAGATGCATGTTGATGCCCTGTGGAAAATGCCCTTGTGCTTTGGGAAGAGTTCACTGATGGAGGGGGATCTTCTGTCTATTTTTGGCTCCACCATTAGTACAGTCTTGGGCTGAATGGCTTGTAGAGCTGAGCTAAAATGATGTGTCTCTTTTTCTGTTAGCAAAAACAATTAAAAAAATAAAACTAACTGAATTATTTCAAATCCTAGTACTATAAGGATTAAACGTGTAAAATCAGTGAAAATGCTGATTTTAACTGCTATCGACATCATTATTTTGTGTTTGGGAAAAGTTAAGGTATGTGTAATGTATTGTGAAAATGTTTTAATCTTAATTTAACTCAAAAGTAATTGTGTCTTTCAGATCAGATGGCAAAAATCAAGCAAAAGTTTCTAGACAGCCAGTGAGTGTTCCTCGACATGTTTCTCCAGTGACTCCTCCCAGAGAAGTTGTAAGTTTGAAAAGAAACATTCTTTTTCTTATATTATGGTATTACATTTTCAATGATTAAAAACAATTGTTTAAAACAATTGTTATTTAGCTATGGAAATCAACATAGATAATTTCTTAAGAATTTAGTAGGAGTGTAGTCTCTAAGTTAGTTAAAGGGATGCCAGTAGGGTTGATGTCTCAGAGGAGATGGGAGAAGACATCTGGATATTAACAGTGCTTGACTTCCTGAAGACATGTTACCAAAGACCTGGTACTGAGCTCCTAGAAAAGACTTAATTGTCTCAGCAGTGGGACCAGTAATCACTGTTCTTCTAAAATAATAGAGTGAATCGGGATAATATTATCTTTTTCTCCTATGCATCCCTCCCTGAGAAATATATGATATTACTTTATCTGTTTTTAAACTTTGTATGATGTTTTGTTTGCTGTTTTATGTGCGTATCTGCAACCTGCTATTTCCTTTAACATTGCTTTGTGATTTATCCCTAACAACACATGTGACTTTCATTCATTACATTTTCACTGTTGATATTATAACAGGTCCTTGAATGACCTGTTTTGTTGAATCCTAGAGAAAGCTGAACAAAGCCATGTTATTTGAGACCTGTTTTTGTTATTCATTGTTTTGCTTAAAGCCACAATGTCTAAGAACATATCTATGCATTGAGGATTTACTGTAAATAAATAATATTCAATATTAAAATCCATTTTCCTATTATCAGATTACAATTTTTCATTACTATGAACAAGGCTGAATTGAACATTCTCTGTATGCCTAAGATCTTATGCATGTGTGAGTTGTAGGACTGTCTTATCTAATATGGTAGTTACTATCCATGTGGCTATTAAAATTTTATTTCAAATTAAATAAAATTGAATACAATTAACAATTCCATTCCTCAGTCATCTTTTAAATGATCAATAGATCATATATGGCCACTGACTAATGTATCAAACAACATTGATATAGAATGTTTTTATCACTGCAGAAAATTCTGTGGAGTGCAAGAATTAAACTATGGGTTGAAAGATATGTGAATATTCACTGGAAATTGTCAAGTTACTGTCCAAAAAGTTTATACCATTGGCGTATGAACATTTTTGTTGCTCTGCATTTTCATTAACACTTAGTATTGCCAGGGTTTTTTTTTTTTTTTTTTCTTTTGACTGTCACCTCCAAATATATGTGAGTTTTTATTGCTCTTTTCTTTCTTTTTTTTAATATATATTTTTTACATCACTTTTCATTTTTGTACAATGTATGCATTTTCTTTTTGGTTATAGTATACCCCGCAAAATTCCCACCACCCTTGTTTTGATCCTTTTCCCCACCCTGCAGTATGTCTCTGGACTTCTAAAGTCTTTCTTGTGTGTAGGTAAAATAATTAGCTATCCTTCATGATTAATGAATTGATCACCTTTACATATACCTGTTGACCATATATATGTCTTCTTTGGAAAAATGTTTATTCAAGTGCTTTGCCCATTTTTCAAATTGTTTGGTTTTTTTGACATTGATTTACATGACTTCTTACTATATTTCAGATATTAACCCCTAATCAGATACATAGTATGCAGATATTTTATCTTCTTTGGTAGGTTTCCTTTCCATTTTTGTTGATGATGTTCTTCACTGTGATGGAGCTTTTTAGTTTGACATAGATCCATGTGTTTACTTTTGCTTTTGTTGCCTTTGTATTGTCAGATCCAGAATATCACCAATATCCCCCATCAAGTTGCTTATCTGTCTGTTTTCTTTTTAGAGTTTTATGGTGTCTGGTCATATATTCCAGTCTTTAGTCTGTTTTGAGTTAACTTTTTTGTATGGTGTAAGATACACAAAGTAGTCCAGTGTCATTATTTTGCAAATAAATATACAGTAATCCCAGCACCATTAATGAAGAGATGGTCCTTTTCCATTGTAAATTGTAAATTAATTGGCCATATATGTATGGGTGTATTCCTGGGCTCGCTGTTCTGTTCCATTGACCTAAATGTCTGATTTTGTGCCAGTATCATACTGTTTTAAATACTATAGCTTTGCAGTGTAGTTTGCAATCAGGAATCATAATGCTTCCTGCTTTGTTTTTTTTTTTTTCTTCCCCACCAGCTTTCTTTGGCTCTTTGGTGTCTTATATTTCTGCAAATATGCCTACTTTAGATACAAGTAGAATTACACAATATTTGTTCTTGTATCTAACTTATTTCAATTCCTCAAAGTCATGCCTATACTAGGATGTATGAGACTTTATTCCATTCTATGACTAACACACTGTAGTGTGCATATACAGTATTTTGGCTATTAATTCATCTGTGTGTGGACACTTGAGTTGTTTCCACAGTTACAGCTAATGTGAACAGTGTTGCCATGAGTATGTATGTACAAGTACTTGGGTTTTTTTTTTTAAAGATTTATTTATTTATTTATGCAAGCACTGGATACAGTCAGAAGCGCGGGAGGGCGAGAGAATTCACCAGAGCCAGAGCGGGGAACAGAACAGGCAGACTGACGAAATACACTACTGAGAGGAGCAGCGGGCGTGGCAGGAGAGGTCTGCGTGTCATGTGGGACCCTCTTTGGTGGCCAGGGATCGAACCGGTGCTGCAGAGGCTGTGGGCAGCTTCACAGCCCAGCGCTCAATTGTTGCGCCACCAGGGGAGGCCCACAAGTACTTGTTTTAAATTCTTGTGGGTGTATACCTAAGAGTGGAATTGATATGTAACATATTTATTGTATAAATAATGTTTTGATGCACCACCAAATGGTTTTCTACAGTGACTGAATCATTTTCCATTTCTACCATGAATGGCCTAATTTTTTCACCTTTGTCAACTCTTGTTATTTTCTGCTTTGTTCTGTTTTTCAAATTTTATTTTAGCCATTCTAATGGATGTTTAGTGTTACTCTTTTGTGGTCTGGTTTTGCATTTTCCTAATAATTAGTAATGTTGAGTATCTTTTCATGTGTTATTGGCCATTTGTTTGTCTTTTCTGGAAAAAATGTCTATTCAGGTCCTTCATTTATAAAATTGTATTGTTTATCTTTTTTGTAACTGTTTTGTAGGATTTCTTTACATATTCTGGATATTAACTCCCTTATCGGATATGTAATTTACAGATATTGTCTTCCATTCTGTAGGTACTTTTTGACTCTGATAATTTTCTTTGATGCACATAAGTTTTTACTTTTGATGAAATTCAATTTACCTATCTTTGATTCATTTTGAATTAATTTCTGTATGTGGTGTGATGTAAAGATTCAATTTTATTCTTCCGCATGTGGAAATCCATTTTTCCTGGCACTATTTCTTGAGAAGACTATTCTTACCCCTCATTGAATTAACTTCTTTTTAGAGCTTGGATATCAGCTCCTTGTTGGATTTATGGTGTACAGATATTTTTTTTCCATTCAGTAGGGTGTCTTTTTGTTTTGAGGATAGTTGCTTTTGCTGTGTAGAACCTTTTCAGTTTGATTTTTGTCCCAGTTGTTTATTTTCTATTTTGTTTTCCTTGTGGCTGAAGATAAATCCCCAAAGATACCCCTGAAGATTGTAACAGGGAGTGTTTTCCCCAGGATTTCTTCATTGTATTTTATGGTTTCAGGTCTTATATATAAGTCTTTTATCCATTTTGAGTGATTTTTGTGCATGATGTGAGATAGTAGTATAGTTTCATCCTTTTGCATGAATCTGTCCAGTTTTCCCAGTATCATCTATTGAAGACTTTCCTTGTTATTCTTGGCTTCGTCATTGTAGATTAAATGTCCATACAGGTGTGGGTTTATTTCTGAGCTCTCAATTCTATTCCATTGTTCTGTGTGTCAGTTTGGGTTACAGTACCAAGATGTTTTGATTATTATAGCTTTGTATATAGTTTGAAGCCTGGAAGTGTGATCCTGCCATTATTACCCTTTTTTGTTAGGATTGCTTTGGCTGTTTGGTATCTTTTGTGGTTTCATGTGAAGAATGCCATTGAAACTGTGAGAGGGATTGCATTGAACCTTTATATTGCTTTGTGTAGGATTGCCATTTTGACAATGTTAATTCTTCCAATTCATGAGCAGGAATTATCTTTCCATTCTTTGTGCCTTCTATTCCTTTTAACAATGCCTTATAGTTTTCATTATATAGCTCCTTCACCTCCTTTGCTACATTTACTCCTAGGTATTTAATTTTTTTTGTATAATTGTAAATGGGGTTATTTTCTTCATTTCTTCTTCTTGCTCTTTGTTTGCACATAGGAAGGCAACTGATTTTTGTTCATTGATTTTGTAACCTGTCACTTGCTGAACTGATATATGTCTCAATTAGATTTCTAGTGGAGTTTTTCTATGTATATTATCATGTTATCTCCAAATAATGATAGTTTTACTTCCTCTTTCTTAATTTGATTTCCTTTTATATCCTTTTCTTGCCTAATTGCTCTTTGTAGGACTTCCAGTACTATGTTGAATAATACTGGAGAGAGTGGACATCCTTGTCTGTACCAGATCTCAGTGGAAAAATTTTAATTTTTTTACAACTTAGTATGATATTATCTGTGGATTTGTCATATATGGTCTTTATTACGTGAGGTGTATTGCCGTTATCTCCAGTTTTTTGAGGGTTTGTTATCATAAATGGATGTTTAATCTTATCAAGTGCTTTTGCGGCATCTATTGATGTAATATCTGATTTTTATCTTTCCTTTCATCGATGTGGTGAATTTCGTTGCTTTTCAGATGTGACTATCCTTGTTTCCCTGAAATAAACCCCACATGGACACGATGTATGATCCTTCTAATGCATTATTGAATTTGGTTGCTAAGAATTTGTTTTATTATCTATGTTATCAGATAAATTGGTCTGTAGTTTTCTTTGTCTGGTTTTGGTATCAGGGTAATGTTGGCCACATAAAATGTGTTTGAAGTACCTTCTCTTTCAGTTTTTTTGGAAATGTTTGAAAAGAATATTGAAAGGTTTGATCTCACTAGTGAAATCATCTGGTCCTGGATTTTTGTTTTTTTGGGAGATTTTTGATTATTGTTTCAATTTCTTAAGCAAAGTATTTTTAAATGTCAGCATTTTAAGTAAGTCATCTATTCATTGTTTTTAAATATATTGCTGTTTTGTATGGAAAATAACAAATTGTTATTATTATTTCCAAGGTAAAAGATATATTTATGAGTATATTGTGGTAATAACTTTTTTTCCTTTTTAGCCCATATATGCAAACAGATTTCCAGGACCAAATTATGCAGCCAAGCAGTCTCAGCAGTTTCCATCAAGGTCTGACATGAATTTTCTTAAATTACTTGATTAAAATAAAATCCAGAGTTAATTAATGTCTAGAATTTTTTTGTATTTTGATTTGATTCAGGGCATGGTATTTATTGCCAACAGTTTGGTAGTATGCGAGTTGCAGAAGAACTTTAAAAGTGATATTTAAATTTTGTCATATTAGTACAATGTTAAAAGAAATTTTAAAAAAGGGTCCTGGGCAAGACAGTGAACTTTTGCTGTTGCCTTTGGTGCAAAATCAAGAGCCATTAAATTATCAAGTATTGGGAAACCAATGAGTTTGGACCAGCATTTCCATTAGCAACAGCTGGAGAAGCTAGACAATATAAGAGAATATGTATTTGAAGGCAATGGAAAACTACCATGGAAGTGAGGAATTGTGGGGCTATGGTCCAGGAGAGGAAGACAGTCTGGAGGTGATTCCAACAATTGGTACCTTTCTCTGTCCTATATGTGTCTACTTTTCTTAAAGTGAGAGGTGAGAGGCTAGGAAGCAGAGGATAGCTATCAACAAACTCATAGGGCAAAGGAAACAAAAATTGGAACTCTTCCAAGGTAGAAGTAATCTGGCAAACATCTCAGGCTTTGGCTGGGACGTGGGGGTGAGAGAGAACTAGATTCTTGACATATTTCTGCAAGTATTTTTTATGTTTAGCCCCCAATCAAAAAAGCCAGATATACTAGAAAAGAAAATATGACTAGAACCAAGAAAAGCAATAAAACATAGAAACAGACTCAGAAGATATCCAGCTATTAGCTTTATGAGACAGGAGTTTTAAAATAATTCTGATGATTATGATATTGGAATTCATTGTCAAAATTGTGAATTTCAGTGAAGAACTAGAAATTTTTCGTAAAAAAGAGAAAATGTGAAATCTAGAAATAGAAAACGTAAGAGCTGACATTAAAGATTCAATAGGCTTAAAGTGAACAAGAAAGGAGAAAATTTTCTACTATATTTTCATCACATAAAATGCATTCCCCCTTCCAAAAATCCTTTATACTACACTGAGGAATATCATCATGTATGATCTTTATTATGCAATAAGGGTATATTAAAAACCAACTGATTGTTAAGAGAGGGATATATAAATCGTGAGCTAGATATTAATGTTTTTGTGTGTTATTGGGGTAGAGGTACCCTAGAATTGAATGAAGAGGGTCAAGGAAAGGTATCTACAGGTTAAAATATGAGGATTGGGAAGAATACATATAGAAGTGATAGGTTTTATTCTCATGGTAGATATTATGTTTAAGGAAGTTGGAATTTCAGTTTTATGTATGTAAACAGAGAGCTAGTTTACACTAGTAATTGTTGCCATTAAAACGTAATACCCATAGGGAAGTGCTTAATTCACTCAGTGTGCTTAGTTGTCTTTTACAATTTGTCTTTTCAAAATATATAAACAGAATCTTCATGTAACATTGCTGATTGTAGAAAAACATCAGTTTTATTCCATTTTAGACTCTGATTGGAACCCTTTAACTATTGCATACAGATTAATAGTAATCTTAAATTATGCTGTACCCTCAAGAATTATGACTGATGTTACAGATGGTGTTATATTTGACATGTAATGAATGTGGCATTATTTCATAAATATATGATTGACTGTCTCTCTATTTTCCCCTGACAGGCCTCCTCCACCTCAACCGAAAGTATCACCACAGGGAAATTTCATTCCTGCTCGTCCTGCCCCTGCACCTCCTTTATATAGCTCCTTCACTTGATTTTTTTTTTTTTTTTACACCTTTCTTTTGCAGATATCTTCAGGGAACTGAGATAATTTTTATTTTCCTGATATTTTCTTGAACAGCCTTTTTTCCTGCTGCAACTATGAATGAACACTAATTACCACAAAACAAAGTTTACTAACACAGGAAAAGAGAAATTGAGTAGTAGGAATTGAGGGATATAAGAAATGCAGTAAAACCAGGGAATTTAGAATAACATTTCCACTTCTGTCATTGAATAAATTTTTTTTGTCATCTGTGAGGTTAATATACTTGATATGGATTGTTATTTTGATTCTCAAATTGACTCTTGGTTTAAGTTTTCTCATTGTGTATTTCAATGTAATTCTGAATTTTGATCTTAGTTATTATTAATGTAGTTTCTGGTTGAACATGTGGTAATCTAATTTCTATGAATGCTGACTAATTAGTTCCCAATAATATTTAATACTTTTCATCTTGCGGAGATTAATAATCATCATACACTAGAATCTTGTCTATCTCATTTATAACATGAATAAATTAATATTCTATCTTCAGAAGAATGCAAAAAACCCACAATTAAGATATACATTATTTTGAAATTACAGAATCCACCAAAAGTGTATATGTGGGTATTCAAACACAGTTAATATTTTCCACTTTTATGATCATTCTATGGGTAAATGGTTTAATAGATTCTATGAATAATAGAATCTATGGATCTATCTATGGATAATGAATATTAGATAAGTTAATTTAATAGTAGAATTTCTATTTTGAATCATGTTAAAGCATGGCATCCTTTTACAATAGCATTATTTTAAATAAATTATAAACTTTAAGGTACGAAATATTTAATAGAGCTAATTAGATATCCTTTTGATTCATGGTATAATAAAGCAGGAGCAATTATAATATCTTCAGTCAATTGAGCTGTCATAAACCACTTGAGAATTTTATGAGCACTTTACGTTTAAAATCTGAATTTTCAAAGCTTGTTATTAATATAATTTAGAATGTTTACATTTACTAAGGTGTGCTGGATCATGTCTCTTGATACTAACATTTTCAAAGAAATTGGGCTGGAGAAAGGAAGAAAAAAATTTCTTAGATAAGTATAAAAAAGTTTGTGTGGTGTCTGTAAGTTATCACCCCAGCTTTGTTAAAAATTGAATTTTTACTATGGAAGAAATGGCATGAATGGTAAAATTTTAAACACTTAAAATTTTTTCATGACCTTTCATAATAAAGTTTAATAATAGGTTTATTAACTGAATTTCATTAGTTTTTCAAAAAAATTTTGGTTTGTGTATATATACATATACAAATATAACATTTACAATTAATAAAATACTTGAAATTCTGTTTTGTGTCATCCAGTAAATTCCTAAGTACTCAATTATTTACTACCTTATTAATTAAGCATTATACTTTTAGATGACATATTAATCAAACTTTCATATGTGCCATTGAAGTTTTCAAACTTCTGCTGAATTGTGCACAATGATCTTTGTTATGGTTTTGAAAACAGTTTTGAACAAAAGTGATATTTTAGTTCTCTGAAGATAATACATTATTTTAACAACCAGGCGCCAACAATTGCCAACAATTCCAAATGAAGATTTTTCATTTCAGTATATATCTCTGAGTGAATTCATATAGGTCTAAAATATTTGTCTTTCATTCATGTATTCTCAATTTTTGCAATTATAATTCATTTCACTGAAATTTTATAGTTGGTAAGTATATCTATGTAACTAATGATTTTCTCAGAATTAGGTGATTTCTTGAATTTTTAGAAAATTTATGTATAATTTCTCATACTTTATGGTTTTCATTCAGATTTGTCCTCTATTTATTTTGGATTGCTATTAAAAATTATAGAATTCTTGGGCATAGATGTCACTTCAAAATGTGAAAACATAAAAGGTTTCCCTCCTAATGATGTTTTAATAATCAAGGATAAATTACATGTAACTTTGTTGTCACTGTTTGACTATGTCCACATGTCCCTATGTTTAGGATATTGCATTTTCCCTTTCAATCAAGCAGATACCTGGATCTCTAACCATATAATTAAGCACAATCCAGGTTTTCTAAGCACAGATCAGAATTTGTTAAATTCTGTAAATGTTTACTGGAACTGCCATACTGCAGTTAGTACTGTTCGGTACTGTGACATATGTTCTATATGGGACATGCCTCCCATATATGCCGCTGTATGGGACATGTTATGGAGAGAACCATATATACAAGTAAGAATAATACAGATTCACTCCATTAAAGATATAAACAGGGAGAGTTCAGGAGAGGAAAATAAGAAGTAAATGAACAAGAAGTTCAGTCAAAATACTTAACCACCAATTGATAAGTAGGTAACTATAGTTGTTCTTCTCGTGCACTGAAACAAGATGAAATCAATTTTGGCTTAAGTACTGCCTTACAAAAAAAATAAAGTTCTAATTCCTTCAGCCTTTTTCCTCCATGTCTATGATTCGAATCCACTCGGAAAATAGTCTTGATATTCCTGAAGCTCACACTTTCTCAAGTAAATCTGCTGAATTACATGATTTTCTTCTGGGCTCCTTGGCTTCTGTCTACACTAGAGCCTCATTTGGCCCTTACTATCTATTTATCTTAGAACCCAAAACAGATGCAACAGCTAGGGGCCAAAAACATACAGCAGGCAAGGAAAGCTGCACGGAATCACATTGCTCTACCACAGGCCAGCGCACAGTGGGCACTGCAGGCTTGGGATAGGGGCTGGGGGAAGTACTGCCTTACAGTAGAGTTAGTCTAGGATTGGTTATTGCTATTGAAATAAGAGGTTGGTGCCTATATTTGTTGTCTTTTGTATTTTGTTGTCTTGACTTTTGCTCATACTATGTAATTTCAGATCGCCCTGTTGAAATCCTGTCAATTTAGATGTGGTGGTTCCCCAAGACAACTTTTATGCCTTCCCAAGAGGCCTTTTAGTCTATTTTTTCTGTTAATTAGTATGAGAGATTAATTCATCTTTGGAATTTGGAAACAGTTAAAAGTGCCTGTAGAGGGAGTTGGGGAGTGAGGTTGGAAGGAAGGAGGCATGTAGTGCCAGGCAATAAAGGCAGTGCGTTCATTCAAGAAAGTCGGAGTGGCCAAAAAATTTGGGAGGAAGTAGGCAATAGTCTGGCTCCAAATTTAGAAATTTTTAAATACTGTGCTGAGAAATCTGGAACATACAAACTACATAGACACTATAATCTTGTCCGTCTCTTAATATGAATGGACGAATGTTCACTGTACTGAGAAGTTATTGTACAAGAGATTGGCTTAACAGGATTTAGCCAAATGTATGTGGAGAACCAGATTGAATGGAGGACAAAAGTGTACACAGCCTGGTTACAAAGTGCGTTGTAGTGGGAACCGGGAAAACAACAACATAGACTTTGTCCAAAGATACCAAAACCTACTTCTCCCTTTCTTGAAATCTTTATCGCACATCTGGCTATCTGGCTAGACTTTTCTCTTTTTCTTTTTTCAATTTTAGACACCCAACTTTAGCAAATACAAATATGTATATTTAAGTGTGTACATAGTTTTTACTCCAGAAAGTATTATTACACGTTCGCCTTGTAAAGTACAGGGAAGTGTCCTTTGAAGTTCACCATCACGAAGCCGAAGGCTTGTGGGGCACAAAAACCGCTACGGAGGGGTCTGGAAGGTTGGGTAACTCCACAGGAACTGCGGGCGGCAGGGAGAGTACAGGTTTCAGCCTGGGGCTTGCACCTTTCAAGCCCAGACGTAACTGCAGGCAACCAGGCCTCACGCTGCCCGCACCGGCGCACGCCCAGGTGCCGCGGCCTGGCGAGAGCCCCGCCCTCCAGCGCGCGGGAGGCGCCCCGGAGTCCTGCCCGCTTCGCCTGACGGCTGGGAGGGCACGGCGGCTCGAACCCGCCCAACGGCTCTCGCCTCTCTGCCGGCTTGGAGCCGGGAAGCCACACCATGTTCCCCTTCTTAATGCTGCTTGCGGGGCTCGGTGGCTCGCTAACGTCAAGACTTGGTAAGCCGGTGGAGACGCTGTGACTCCCCTCTGGGGCGGACGAAGGGCTTTCCTTTTATTTTTTTCTTTCAAGGCCTACCTGCTTCTGTCAAATGGTAGCTCAACTCAGTGAAAAACCCGGTGCCGTCCGTGCTGTTTGGTGCCTTTTGCCCTTTCTGCCCGGAGACCGAGCTGTGTTTGGACGCTCCGCTGGGACAGAGGAGTGGCTGCAGAGAGGAAGCGAGCCCGAGGGCAGAGCTCTTCCTCTGACGTCTGCGTTTGGGGCAGCGTTTCTTGTACTTCACAAAACTCCCTCGAAATTTCTTGCACGCGACACCCCAGAAACTTCTTGAATTCCACTCAATTTCCCCAAATCTGACTTTCCTTAGATATCATTTGCTCCAGCATAACTTGTTCTGCATACAGTAGTAACTTGATCGGCAATACAAGGCAATATGCTGACACTGACAGAAAAGCAGTATAGAAATGCAGTATAGAAAAAACAGTAAAAAGAGTCCGTAAAAATTTAAAGGTATCAGCGGAAGTTTAGAAGCAAGTCACATTTTGAGTTCTGTTATTTTTCTTATACAAGGTTCTGAATCTTGGCCATTCTAAGTGCAGGGACTCTCTCCTGCCCCCTTCTGCATTGTATTCCATTATTTGGAGATACCACAGTGTACTCAGACGCTTCTCTTGTTAATGGCCTTTGGATTGCTTTGGATCCTTCTGCTGTTTTAGTGAACTGCTTACACTCGAACAGCCTTCATACCCTAGGCTGGGTAGCTTAAACAACTGAAATTTGTTTTCTCAGTTCTGGAGTCAGGAAGTGGAAGATTAGGGTGTCATCCTGGTGGGGTTCTGGTTAGAGCTCTCCTCCTGGTTAGGAAGCTATTGCATTCTTGTTGTGTACTCACATGGAACTCTGCGGTGTATTTTGCGAATGGGGAAGTCACCGAAACACTCTGGTGACTCTTATAAGGACACTAATCCCATCTTGAGAACTCCACTTTTATGACCCCATCCACCCTAATTATCTCTGTCAGCTGAATCCCTGCTGTGTAACCATTTAAAGATAATTATTAGATATGCCTTTTGCAAATATTTTCTCACTGTAGTTTGTCTTTTCATTCTCTTGATGTATTTTTCAGAGCAGACATTTTAAATTTTATTGAAATTCAGCTTACCAGTAATTATTTTTATGCATTCTACCTTTGGCACTGTATTTAAAAAGTCATTGTCGTGCCTAAGATCTTCTGAGCTTATTGTTATGTTATGATCTAGGAGATTTATAATTTTGTATTTTACATTGAGATCTATGAGCCATTTTGTTATTTTTTGTGAAGTCTATAAAGTTTGCGTCTAGATTCATTTTTTAAAAATGTGGATACCCAGATCTAGCACCATTTGCTCTATTGTGTTGACTTTGCTCCTTTGTTAAAGACCAGCTGACTATATTTATGTGTATCTTCACCTGGGCTCTCTGGTTTGTTGCATTCACTTATTTGTTGATTCTTTCCTCAATACCTGAGTGTCTTGGTTACTACAGCATTTATACCAAGTCCTTAATTTGGATAATGGCAGTTCTTTCTACTTCAATATTGAGTTTGCTATTTTGGGTCTTTTGCTTCTCAAACTTTGTAATAAATGTGTTGATATCTACAAAAGAACTTGGAAAGATTTTGACTAGGATTGCACTAAATCTATAGGACAGTTTGGGGAGAACTGAAATTTTGACAATATTGACTTCCTTTCCATGACACAGATTATGCCTCCAAATTTATTTAGTTTTTCTTTGCTATTTTACATCAGAATTTTGTAGTTTTTCCACATAGATCTTATCCATATTTTATTAGATTTATACCTAAGTACTATATTTTGGGGGGCTAATGTAAAACACATTATGCTTTAAATTTCAAACTCCATTAATTTATTATTGTTACATAGGAAAATGATTCACTTTTACATGTGTTAACCTTATAGTCTGCAAACTTGCTATCTTTTAAGTGTACAGTTCAGTAGTGTTAATTATATTCACATTATTGTGTCATTTATTTCTAGAAGCCTATTCATTTTGCAAAACCGACACCTTAAGTCCATTATACAGAAAATTAAAAATTGTAGTAAAATATCAATGACATAAAATTTACCATTTTAACCATTTTCACTGATCCTTCCTGTTTATTCCTTTATAAATTGAAATCAATTGAGGGAACTATATTCAGTGTTCTCTTTATTTTTATGGATTAACTTTTTTCATCTCTACCAGTGAGTTACATATTTTCATATCCTCTAATGTTGTTCATTAGCATCCTTTGCTTTATCATAAAGACTCCCTAACATTTCTTCTAATGCTAGTGGTGATGAACTCCTTCAGCCTTTGTCTGGAAAACTTTTTTTTTGGTATTGTTTTTAAATTCTTTTTTTATTTTATATATTTCTTACATCATTTTTCATTTTTGCACAATGTGTGCAATTTCATCTTGGTTATACTCCCCATACAATTGCACCCCCCTTATTTTGACCCCAATCTCTCCTCTCCCTGCCCCCCCTTCTCCCACCTCCAGTGTGTCTGTGGTTTATACTTGCTTGTTGATTTTGATTTTTTCTTTTTTATAGTTTTTAATTTTTAAAAATTTTCTTTATTATAGATATTCTTTTTCCTGGTCCCTTATTTAAGTTTTCTAAATTCCTGCTATGAGTGAGACCATCCAGTATTTTTCTTTTTCTTTCTGGCTTATTTCACTGACCATGACCCCTTCCAGCTCCATCCATGTTGCTGCAAATTGCATGTGTTTATCTTTTTTGATTGCTGAGTAATATTCCATTGTGTATATATACCATATCTTCTTGATCCAGTCATCTATTTTTGGGCATTTGGGCTGTTTCCAAAGCTTAGCTATTGTAAATAGTGCTGCTATAAACATAGGGTGCAGGTGCCCTTTTGAATTAATGTTTCTGTGTCCTTTGGGTAAACACCTAGGAGTGGAATTGCTGGGCCATATGGAATCTCTATCTTTAGTATGTTGAGGAATCTCCACACAGCTCTCCATAATGGTTGGACTAGTTTGCACTCCCACCAGCAGTGCAGGAGAGTTCCTTTTTCTCCACATCCTTGCCAACATTTGTTGTTGCTAGTTTTTTTGATATGTGCCATTCTCACTGGTGTAAGATGGTATCTCATGGTAGTTTTGATTTGCATTTCCCTGATTACAAATGATGTTGAACATTTCTTCATATGCCTGTTGGCCATTTGCATTTCCTCTTTGGAGAAGTTTCTTTTTAGCTCTGGAGAACTCTTAATGTGCTTTTGTTTCCGAAGTACAATTTTGCTGGCTAAACTATACTTGGTTGGCATCTTTTTCTTTCAGCGCTTTGACTATATCATTCTACTCCTTTCTGACCTGCGGTGTTTCTCCTGAAAAAGTCACTGGTAATCTTGTGGGACTTACCATCTATTGGGTTGTTGGAAAAGTCATGACACATTTTTTCTGTTTTTGTTTTTTTTTTTAATATTTATTTATTTATGCATTCAAGAGTTGGGCACAGGCCAACTCTTGTGTGTGTTGGGGGAGAGGATTCACCAGAGACAGAGTGGGGAACAGAACAGGCAGACTGACTGAAGTACACTGCTGAGGGGAGCAGCGGGCGAGACAGGAGAGGTCTGCTGCGTCTTATGTTGCTCCCTGGCCATCTGGGGATCGAACTCATGCTGCAGAGGCTGTGGATTGCTTCATAGTGCAGTGCTTAACCCCTTGCACCACCAGGGAGGCCTTCTATGTTCTTCGAAGAAAGAATACATCATGACTTTTCCCACAACCCAATATTAAACAAGTTCCTTTTCTCATCTTACTTTTAAAGATCCTCCTTTTTCTTTAACTTTTAACAGTGTAATTATAAAATGTCTTAGTGTGAATCTTTCTTTTTTGGGTCCACCATATCTGCTTCCAGTTTAAATTCTCTATAAGATTCTTTCAATATTGATGACTATTTATTCTCCACAAAATTCTAATATGTGTTGTAGGGGGGAAAGACAGTTAATGAACGGTGTCAGTAATGGTTTCAAACTGGGACAGTATATAAAAGTCCAACGACCACAACAGAAGACTGTTTTTGAAGAAATAAGACTCATTAGAGTAGAATGTTTGGCATCTAAATAACTAAAATGCTTTGAGACCAGAAGAATATTTATAGAATTTTGTCTTAGATGGTTTTAAATATTTTACCCTTAATACTCACAGTTTACATTATATGGTAACATGAAACATGAAAATTAAACTTCAGATAGTGCTTTAATTAAAATTTTAAATATATGATATACCCTCATCTTATTCTGTTTTATTAGGAAGGAAGTTTTATTAAAAAGAAAACATTTTTTAATAGTCTATTTTTTCCTTATGTGTATTAAACTTCTTGATTCTACCTCCACATGCTCACTGAGATGCTCAGAGAAACTACTTTCAGTCTACCTGGATGTTCTAAAGGCACAAGCCAATTCATAATTTCCAAAGTAGGTAGGTAGGTAGAGATATAGATTTTCCCCTTCCACCAAATGACCCATGCTCATACCCTATCTGCTTCCCTCCCCCATTCTCCCACACTTTTCTCTATTCCCTCTGATAACCATTATCTTCCTTTTTTCCTGAGTTCAAAAATTTAATTCTTCTATTGTTTGCATGTAATTTTTTTTGTATTTTTGCTCTGCAGATAAATGAAATCATCCAAAATCTGTCTTTTACTTTTTGACTGATTTCACTCAACATAATCACCTCAAGGTCCATCCATTTTGTCCTAAGTCACACTGTTTTGTGCTCACAGCTATAAAATATTCCATTTAATATATTCTCCACACTTTTTCTATCCATTTATCTGTTGAAAGTCACTTGGTTTGTTCCATGGTTTGACAGTTGTAAACAGTGCTGCTGTGTGTATAGGTATAGATAAAATCTTTTCATATTAGATTTTTCCTGTTGTTTGGATAAATACCTAATAGTGGTATTGCCGGGTCAAACGAAATTTACATA